AAATAAATAAACGCCACACAGATCTTATATGCATGTTGCCTTCCCCCCTCAAGGCCACTGTTGAAGACCCATAAACATCACACTGCATTCAGAGTGGAAGGAACAAGCAGAGTCGGTGTAAAATTTTAAAAAATAAAAAATAAAGTTTATTAAGATTTTATTTGCGAGTTGTTTTGGGATGGCGTAAGGATTGCGTCCTCCTCAGGGCTTCCGTCACAGAGCTTTGCTCTGCTGTCTCTGCTGCTTTCGCTGCAGGTAGCGAGCGCGAGCGTCACTCACTGTGGCGTCGTTGTTTCTCTTCTCCAGCTTCTTCATGAGATCCTCAGAGGAACTCTCTGCAACGACAACAAAGGACTTTTAACCAGGATTGTGAGGCCAAAATTCAGTACAACAAAATATAGTATGACTGGATTAAAAAATAAAAACAGCAGAAATTACACCCAAAAAAAGATACAAAAAAGATTAGTGTATGTGGACCCATTTCAGCCACAAAAATGAAAAATAAATATGTTTATGTCAGCTAGTAGTCCGATCTGAGCCATTGAAACTGGACGCCCATTGGACAATTCTGAGGCTTTAAGGTGATAGAAATTAAACTTTTCTTAAACTTTCGTATGTATATTCTGAGAATTTACTTATATGCGATGAAAACAGTTCAGAAAAAATTCTTTAAATGACTTATGGTGTTAGTTGTCTTTGTGTGATTAATTTTCATTTGAAAAACTGTAAATAAGCCATATTTTCAATTCAAGTCAACCAAAAGTATTCAAACTAGTTTGAATTTTAGATTTAAGTGTGCAACTATAACTTTTATGCGGTTCTGATATCTATGACTGGATCATTATATTGGAACAGGGAATGCCAATGCCAGTCCATATTAAGTCCATAAGAGGTTTTAGTGACAAAAAATTTCATTCTGAGGAAAAGCAGATGAGTTTTTAAAGGGATTAACAGCTGCCAGAGGGAGACATGAAAATATAAATCATGTGCTAAGCAGATTTTAAAATACTCTGCAAAAGCCCCCCGCATGTATTGTTTTCTTCTGAAGACAAAACAAGTTAATCCTGTTTCATCTCCTCTGACTCCCTCTTCCTGGAAAAAGGCAGAGGTATCAAAAATATTCTCAACACCTTGTTGTCTTTTTGCTGCTTCCCTGGTCTCCCATTTCGTCACCTCCTCTTCGGTTACTTCCTCTCTTGCCACACTGCTCAGCTCGTAGACGTCCACCTCGTGGAGTTTAGGTAACAAATCCTTCACCCACTCGTACCGAATGGGGCACACCGTCCTGATGTACATCCGCGAGGTCACCAGCACGTCATGGAAGACGATCCAGTCCAGCTCTCCCTCCTGATCAAACAGCTTAGAGCCACATCGACAGTGAGACCGGAAGGTTTCGGAAGACTTAAACGCGCGTTTGTGCTCGGTATAAAGACGCATTTACCGATGACGATGGATGAATGTGGACCATTGATCCGTGGCCGTCCATTGTGCAAAACACTTTTCCAAAGGATCTGAGAGAGAAATGGAACAGCAAACATGTCTCGCGTTTGACAAACCCAGAACCCTGATGAAATGAAGCAGGTAATACCTTCTGGCAACATTGGTGAAGTATCCAGAGCAGAGGCACCGTCTGAAGAGCTCACTTTTATTACAGTCATGAGTTTCTTTGGGGAAATCTCTCTTCTGAAAGCAGCAACACAGGCAACCATGACAAAAAAACATGACTAAATAAGAACTTTGAATAACGGTTGGAGTATTACCTGAATTGCATAAGAAAACAATCAACCAATAGCATTCTTCAGAGAGAAATAGAAGCCCTGAACCTGCTGAAGGCGGAAGAGGATGTCTCTCAGCTGAGTTTCCACATTAAAGGAGGATTTTAGCGCCCTCCAGTGGATCCAGTTGTCCTTACACCACGCTGACGGCCTCTCACTGCGGGGGGGGGGGCAAGAAGACAGGCTCACATTTCGCACGTGTCAGACTGTCGTTTCTTCCGACGGCTGGAATTTCTCCACTCACCTGTCTTTGCATGACTGAAACACACTGAGAAGCGTGGCAAAGTCGTTCATGCCGCCGGTCTTTGCAGCCAGGCCTTTGTGCTTCTCTTCTGCCTCTTTCTGGTTCTCGGGTTTTCCTGCGGGAAGTAGAGATCCAGCAAAGCTCCATTGGACTTATTTCATGCATTTCTGACACATATAATGGCTCCGTTATTCGGCAAAAAACTACCACGAGGTGATAAAGAAAAAGGATTTTACTTCTGACCCTCACATGGCTGTGGTGGATATTTAGCCAACTCTTGATTGAAATATCATTCAGGATTGCAGGTATTGCCTCACATGCTGCTCATATAAGGCCCCACTTCAAGGGATATTGACAGGGTCATGGCAGTATTTTTATTAGAATTCTTTACAGATTTAAACTGAATGCTGTGTTTGGGGTCCGCCGTCCTGCTGTGGGACCCACTTTTACTTTGAATAAAACTCCGGTATGGTGACAAAATTCATGGCTGATCCAGTGAAAGCAAAGTGTTCAGTTCCTGTAGCTCAAATATATGCCTAACACAGAAAATCAACACTCCTCCACCACTGTCCTTGGCATTCGAATGAGGCATTTGTGATGAAATGCTGCTGTGCATCGAGATCAGATCTCCATTGAAGGTCTCATCTGCCCAAAGAGTGCTGCTCTTTGTTCTTTTACACAGAGAAGAGGCTTTTTCCTGGCAAACCTTTTCAACAAGCCACATTTTTTTCTGACTTTTAGAATTAAATTACGTCATACTAAATTACTCTTTACCTTTCCAGCAATACTTCTAGTCCTTCTTTTGAGATGGATAAACACTAAAAAGCCTCCACTGCTAACCTGGCCTGATGAAGATGTTCTCCACAGACAGCATGGCGGCAACAGGGAGCAGCAGGTCTTGGCAGCCAAAGGAAGCGGCTTTAAGCAAAGCCCTGGTGAGGCCTGGGTGCAGGGGGAACTCCACCATCAGCTCCCCGAGCTTGGTCACACTTCCTTTCCTGAACCAGACGAATAAGAGCTAATGAGACTTTCTCTCATTCTCTCAAAGTCTGAAATCTGCCGCTTTTCCACGTGGATAAAGTGGAGGATTGATGAGAACCTCAGCTCACCTGTCAATAGCATCGAACTGGTAGAGCTGCTTCAGTGCCTCTAGGATAAACCTCTCCTCGGGACAGTCCAGATAAGGAAACCTTCAACCGGAGACCACTTTTTGCATCAATAATGACGTGAGCATTTTGATTCAACACGCGATGACCACACAAAGCATCAGGCGACTTACCGAATCACGTCATGGACGCCGAGGCACTTGAGTGTTAGTATCACAGCTGTCAAACTCGTCCTCTGGATCTCTGGAACTGTATATTCAGGCATGCACTTCTCCCAGAATTCCTTGTTGTAGATACGGAAACATTTCCCCGTAGATGTCCTTCCAGCTCTGCCAGCTCTCTGCTGGGCCTCACTCCTGTTAAGAGAAAAAACAAACAAACAGAAAAACACAGTTTACATGTCTGCTGCCAGGTCTTGTTGTAAAGTAAAAAAATCCATTTCCATTTTTTGACCACTTCGCTTCCAAGACTCACTTTGAAATCGGCACCACCTCCAACACATCCATCCCCACCCTTGAGTTGTGGTTGAGCTGCTTCACAAAGCCGCTGTCAACAATATACCTATTTGTGATGGGGGGAAAAAAGAAAAAAGAATGTGGCTCTGGGGTATGTTTTGTGGGGAAAAACATCACAAGTCGCAGCTTCATGTTGAAACAGCAGCATTTACAGCCCACGCTTACTTTATGCCATTGATGGTGAGAGACGTCGCTGCGATATTTGTAGCTACCACACACTTCCTTATTCTGGGGGGTGGGGGCTGAAATATCTGTCTCTGTTGCTCTGCGACAAAACCAAAACAAATACGACGTAAATCAAGGACGATTTTTTTCTGTTCAATGTAAGGGGAAAAAAAGAAAAAAAACTATGGGCATTTACAGCTAACATACCAGTGGGCATAGACCCATAAAGAGGCAAAATCAGAAGGCCCTCCACTGTCTGGTCCTCAACATCATAGCGATAGTCTATAGACTCTGCTTTTTCAAACAATAGGTCACAGGCGCGTTCGATCACTGACCGACCGGTGGGGGGGGAAAAAAGGGGGGGGGGGTTAACGTGGCAAATTTCAGTCTGTACTGCGACACTGGGAAACCATCATTATCACTTACCCGTTAAAAACACCAAAATATCCCCAGCCATTTCACTCGTGTGGACATCCAGGGCCACTTTCACCACCTGTGGCCAGAAACAAAATCTAATTAACGTTGAAGAGCTCCAGAAGAGAGGGGAAAAACACAAACACAAAGACAACAAGTACCTCTTTCACGTAACCAGTGCTTTCCAAGTCTTTCGGGCCCACGGCGAAGCCGAATGTACACGTCACAGGAAACACCCGCCCAGGAATAGCAAAAACGGGACAGTTGCCGAGAAACGCAGAGATTTTGTCCGATTCCAAGGTGGCGGACATCACCACCACCTTCAGGGGGTGGGAGCGCTGCTTGGCGGCCTTGGATTGATTGAAGAAGATTTTCTTCAACAGACCCAGCAGGATGTCCTGCGAAGGGAGCGCGGCGTTAGGGAAAAACAGCAACCCTTGGCCACATGGTGGCATGATATTTCCATGAGGTGGCAGAAACAGTGGCGTACCGTGTTGAGGCTGCGTTCGTGAACTTCATCCAGTATGATCACGCTGTACTGAGACAGCGCCGGGTCGGCCAAGACCTCCCGCAGCAGACAGCCGTCCGTCATGTACTTCACCACAGTGTCCTAAGGGGTCAGGCAATCTCCAAATGAACACATGTTGTAAATATTAAATGTGGGCAGTATTTGGAGAGGGAATGACTCACCTGTGACGTGCAATCATCAAAACGTACTTGATACCCCACTTCCCTACCCAGAGTGCATTGCATCTCCTGGGCCACCCGCTGGGCCACGGTGATGGCAGCCACCCTGCGGGGCTGGGTGATGCCAATTTTGCCATTTCTAGAAAAGCCTGCGACAACAAAAAAATTAAGGTTATGGTAAACATATACGAAGAACCCGTTAATTGTCAAGAAAATGTTCTATTACACAGCAGAAATGCGTCTCCCGGAGGTTACTTCCTTTCCATAGTCTATGCCAATTTACTGTTTCATTTGAGTTTTTACATAAAAATGTTACTTACCTGCTTCGTGCAGGTACTGTGGGAGTTGTGTTGTTTTCCCGCTTCCCGTTTCACCGGTGACAAGCAGGAAAGTGTCGTCTTTGACAGCCCGAATTAGTTTGGTTTTGTGCCGATATATTGGCAAATGTTTGGCCTCGTCTTTTGGGTTCCATCTCGTTGGTGTGGACATAACCGAAAACCTTCCAAATCAAGACACTAAAACAAAGAATTGGACAGACCTAAAACCAATGAGACGCCACTTTGTATCTATTTCTTGTTTTCGCTGGAAAAACAACACGCTTACTGAACGACACAACGTCACTTCCGCAAACCGACCAATTCTCGATTGCTATTGGTCCATTGGTACTCACATGACACGGTACCTACCAAAATTAAATTCCAGCTCTCTATAGGCGTCTTAAACTTTGAAACGTTTAAAAACATTTACACTAGAAAAACACATGACATGCTAAACATAAAATTATTTGTAAATATTTTTAATAACGTTTACCCCACAAATGTTTAGTTTTACATATTGACATAGGAACTACTAGAGAATAATACTTATACACTTCCAGTAAAATCATTATTTGTACATAATATGGAAAGAAGTAGCTGTAAAAACTAACCATCTTTAAAGCAACTGGTTGAAAGTTCCAACCTTGACTAGGGCAACTAACCAGTGACTGTGTTTTGTAAGTTGCCTTGTATAAAAGCATCTGCTAAATATAGGTATAATATAATGTGGAATGTTTAAGGTTGTCTTTTATATGAGCATGACAGAGTGCCCCAATACCTTTTGAAAGAAGATCTTGGTTCCTTTAAAAACAATAAATAAAAAAAATTTAAAAAAAGAATTTACAGCCAATTCAATTGCAATTAACTCATGACAAAAAAAAATCATGTACCCATTTGTAGATGAAGTCTAGTTTTATTTACATCATTGATTTACATATAACCAACGTATATTTTGTGTACAAGTGTGTTTTGAATATAAACATGACTAGAAATGCTATTATTCACAAATAATACAGAAGAGGTCCACTGGAGACTACGCTGGGTAAAATACTTTGCTCCATCTCGGGTGAGATTCTTTGGTGACGCTTCCCTGAAAAGGAAATGGTAAAACAGAAACCACCGTCAACAGTGTCCCCACATAGTGAAGCATAATTTGACATCAGACTATCTTTTAATACAATACTTTACATGCCTTGGGACCACAGATGTTCTTCTACAAATAAATTAGATAATGTAGACATGAGTGATTTCACCAGGTATGAATAGGCTGAGGCACCACTTACCATTGCTGCAGTGATGTAAACAATTTGGACCTTTACAGATCTCCACATTACAATGGAGAAACACCTAAATTATCGAAGAAGGGAGTAATATTTCAGAGAAATGGACATACAAATGAACTTTATTGACATGAGCCTTACATACCAGGTTTTCAAAAGCTTGAAACCTCACAAAAGAAAACATCTTGATTGCAAACCATTTGTGAAGGGCGGGATATGCTATGTCCTTACTGGAGACCGGCAACACAACAGTCCGGTGGCTATCACCCGTGAAGGGACACCTGGATTAAATTCAAAAGACAAACTCCAGTTGATTCTTATTATTTTCCCCTCTCTTCTTTGTATTTTACATCAAACACAATCTGCTTCATAGCTGTGAATCATTTCACCCTTTGAAAAGGAGGTTCCATCTCAGTGGATGATCTGGGTCTTCGGTTGGCGTAGCCCAGCAGTCCTCCAGCAGCAACACCAAATCCTTGTCGTCATGTTTGACCAACACCTCCACATACACCGGCTGGCCAAGCTCACTCACAACCGGGGGGTCAGTCGACGAATGAAAAGATTTGTAGGAAGAATCTGTGGAGGGGAAGAAACAACGAAAAAGAATGAGAGAATAATCATTTTAGAAATGAACAACATTTTAATCAACACAAAGTTTGTAATACAATTCACTGAAGGTCAGGCATTAAATTTACAGAGCTATTATTTCAAAAGCAATAAAAAGTAATATACAATTGATGGAAATATACATAAGACTAAATTCCCAGAACTTTTCTACAGATAAAATCCAATACAATCCTGTTAAGTGCTTTCACTGACCAATTAAATGCATTGAGATAATCAAACCAATAATGTATGCCTTCCACAAAGTTGCAAACAAAAAAGAAAAAGCATCGTAATTAAAAGATTAATTCAATTTTTTTTTTTAAACGTGTTTTTAGAAACTGACAAAATGACAAGAGGTATTAACCTTTGGCAAACCTCATTTGAGTCCTCAGCATTCCTTTGTTCATCAGCGTTGACGGGTACTCGGACGCACTTTGATGAACCGTAATGCCCACTTGAATCATTTGAGTAAGTGCAAAGGTACACCGGACAGTTAGACTAAAGAAGAAGAAAAAAACAGAAAAAAAAACTGACATTTATATTAAATCTATGCCAAAAAAACTAAACAAAAAAGAGTGATTCACTTTTATAATCCTACTGGAATGGAGTATGACGAAATATGACTCCTTTATGGGGGTGTTGCTTCACCTCAATGTTGGTCCAGTAGGTAATATTTCCATCTGCAATCTGCAGGCCAAAACTGTTCCGTTTAACCACTAAAACACCCCGAAACCCATCACAGGCATGGGTGATGTGTTTTGCACGTACCGTGGACTGGGTGCCACAGTCAGTGAAGGGAAAGCTGAACGTCACGGCCTCAGCGGATCTCCTCTGGGGTTTGCAGTTGGGGCCCTGATGGGATGCGACCCCCACTGCATCGAGGTTCAGAGGTGGGTCTGTGACCTTCCGCGGGATGGTGATGTTGAAACCGCTTTTGTTGCAGAAAAGTAAACTTGACGTATCTGGCAGGACATTTGTCATTGGCTCTGTAAACAGCAACAAGTGTTGAATTATTTAAAAATAAAAAAATACATGAAGGAAAAAAGAAGATACTGCTTGCACACTGGCCCTCTACCTTTTCCCTTCCTTTCGCAGATGAGATCTACGGAATGGACTATCTCTGGCATCGCCCCTTCTGCAGGTGCCATGACGACGACAGTGAGACTTGTCACATCTTTCTACTAAACACAATGTCTAAAAAAGTTAGAATGAAGTAGCTCCGAGTGAGAATCTGTTACGCAGCCAGGATTAAAAGATTTATCAGCTCACTTGTCTTTTGACAAAACACCCATTGGAAGCCACTGTTAGGATGACAAAGGAATGGGTTTCTCCAAAGTAGTAGTTGCAGAGCTTTGCGATAGCCACAGCTTGATAATATCCTCTGTGTTCGTCTGTGGGACAGAAACAAGACTGCAGGAAACCACAGGCCCTCCGGGGGTCAGAGTAATGTGTCAATTTCTACAAAGCAGGACTCACCTTGAACGTATATTGTGAAAGGAAGACTGGCAAACTGCCTTTTTGACATGTAAACCGACATGAAGTCATCGTGGCAAATGACTGAGTCATCACCGGCAGGGGTGTGAAACACAGCTCGCAGTTGTTTGGACGATGCTCGGACTTCCCATCTCAGGGAAAGCAGTGAAATAGAAACGAGTGCCACCAAAATGAAGTCTGAGCTGCTGGTCTTCATTCTTGGTTGCAGAGACTTTGAGAGTCAGGGGGACGCAGCTGCTGTTAGTCTGTTTTAATTGGCACGGGACCGAAGCAGCCAATCAGGTCAAAGCAGCTGCAAACCAGCAAGCACTCTGTGTTGGTTAACCCTAACCACCCAGTCAGCAGTCTATGGAGCTGTAGCTGCATTTCCTTCTTCACCAACACAGTATCACTGAAGAGAAATGCAGACAAGCTTCTCCATGAAAAGCAGCAAGCTTTACATCAAAGACAGGCTATTTTCTGGCACTCTTCTTTAGTGGGACCAATTCCTGATGACTTAATTTGCCAAGTTGAGTCAGAAAAAAGGATTTTCTATCTTCTATTATCACTGGACCAATGATCTAAACACGAAGTGTTCCTCCTCCAGGGTTACTTCACCGATCTGCCCCGCAAAGAGAATCCCAGAATAGACGAAGCTTTAACAGATCTCCCATGCAAATTTCCTTGAGCCTTTGATTTCTGTTTTGCTCCAGAGACGATTCCGCATCTTATTGAAAACTGGTGGAAGTTTGTTGGTGCCATCTCTATTATTCAGCATTGGCATTCTTTACCATTTCTTTTGGGAAAGTTAACATCAAGTATTAACCTTTCCATCAATTTCTATCATTTGTGGCTCCCTTTACTGGCAAATACTTATGAAAATGTATCTCTAGCGTTTGTTATAGTGTGTCAATCAGAGCCCGCCAAGATAAAAGCGTACAAAGTGACTATTTGCCCACAAGACCAAAACAAATTAAGTTAAAAATCATAACTATATTAGTTTTCTATGTGAGTAATGATTCCTGTTATTAAATGTATATTAGGACACAGTTTTATTTTAGAATTGAGATCCTCTGATATTTTTACAGTAAGTATACTAAGTCTAACTTCCTGTGTGGAGTCTCCCATCATTGCTTCCTTATTGTTATTCTTGCACTACAAATCATTTTTGCACATTGTTTTTGCAATTTGTTGTACGATAAGAATGATGAACCACATGACAGGTTTACTGTAAATGCTCTCTCTACTGGTTTATTTAACTTTAGCCAGCCAGGATGATAACTTCATCCTGCTTAGTGACCTTACCCCTTAACTGTAAATCAACCAAAGGAAGCTCTTGGAACAGAATGAACCTCCATTTTCAATTATCTGAATTAAAACACATCCTGATGTCTTTCCTCCAGCAGGAGGCATTAAACCTGCACGAGAAGGGTTTGAGTGTAGGAGAAGACAACAAATGGAGGGGATAATTCTTTATTATGAAGCAGGTCAAGGCTATTGGCGATATGCAGGCTAATATATTGTTTCAACGAGCTCCTTGAAACAACAGGCACAGAAACACAGCACAGACAAATACAGCACAACTGTCCCACAGACAAAAGAAAATGAATCAATAGGTGACATTGAAAAAGATCCTTGTCTTCTGTCCTTAATCTTCTACAGTTGGTTGAGCTCCACTGTGCCCCGGTTGTAAATGGGGTTTTTGTAATCGAAGCCTGAGGGGGAAACAACAGAAATTACAAAAAACAAAACAACCAGTTGACAACACGCTACACTTTCACAGCTGAAACGTCCACAGATGACTTCAGCACTCACTGTCTTTGGCTTTCTTCCTCCCCATGCCTGCTGTAAGACAACACATCTCCCTGAGTCCTGAACATTGCTCTTAATGCATTTATCTGTTTCTACGTATCTGCATGATCCGATTTGGGTTTGGCGAAATGGGTTACCTTTTCCATTCTCCGGCCTTGTTGCCATGGCGTGTGACTTGCTGAGCTCACGCTGGTTAACTGAGACAGAAAGGATGTGTAAGCACACCTGGAGCAGTCAGAAGGATGTTTGTCTGGTGAGATATTCTCCACATTACCGTAAAAATGTCGATTGAAACTTGCTTGCCGCAACCTGCTGATGAGGTCTGGAAGGTGTGAGAAGACATTTACTTCATGCTGTCACACTCTCCTCAAAGCACAGTTGATATGTAAAGACAAGCGTAAATCACCTATGTGGAATCTCTGTCTCGTCCTTTGACTTTCCACCCGTTCAAACCTGAGTTCGTTAAGGTTCGGATAAATCCCCCCGGTGCTTTGACCAGGCTGAGGGACGCCAGGGTGCTGCGACCCCCTCGGCAAACCAACGTGGCTTCTGTTTGGATCGGCGCAGGCGAGGTATTGGTCATCGTTTTCTGCCGTTTGTGAGAGATTCAATTAAAACACATTTACGATAGCCCGCAAACTATCTGAGAGCTCAGTGTCTCCTCTCAGCTGGGTGAAGCAGTGAAAGAAAGCAGCAGCAGCTGAAGAAGAAGAAGAAAAAGAGTACGCACCATAAACAAGGACATGAAAGTCTCCACCTGCAGGATCTGCATGCAAACAGAAGCAGTGACCCTGCCGTTAGCTAGGCATATCAGGATAACTCCAGTAAGTGTGGGTTTGTGTTTTATCTGCGTGTGATGGATTACCTATGCGGTGTTCATCATTTACTGGCTCTAGTTCCTGAGGTGGAGCACTGGCACCTGCAGTGGAACATTACATGAGACAGGAATTTATTCAAATTCATGGCAAACACTCTATAAGATTACCTGCTGCGTGTCAAAACAGCAGATACACACACTGAGCTCAGAAAAGCCATAAAGACTCAAGGTAAAGGGAATATTCTAGCAGATCTGGAAATTCCCCAGTATACCCATAGTGAATTATTTGTGACGTTCGGGCTCCGCCCACCGGCTCAATCTCTCCTTGCAATCAGCGACATTGGTCGCACCTGTCCGGGTCAGTATTTAAACCACTCTCACTCACTCACCTGGGCCAGAACGTCTCTAAACAAACCGTGTGAGTACTTCCAGCAATATTATTCTGCCTGCCTGCCTGCCTGTTACGACCTGACTGACCCTGTTTCCGAGCCTGCCTGCCCCTCGTCTGATTATCCTGCTTCGCCTGAGTTCTGCCTGGCCCGACTCAGTGCTCTGCCTGCCTGCCCGTGTCCCCGACCCAGCCTGCCTGACTCCGCGCTCCCGTCTGATCCCTCTGGACTGCTTCCCCGGCCTTGACCCCCGCTCGTTCTGGACCACGTTTTGGATTACCCTCCTGATGGCTGCTGGACTGACCACACGGTGCCGACCTCGCCTGCCTGACCACGCCCACAGGATATTCCTGAGAATAAACCTGTTCGAACTGACCGTTGCCTCAGGGTGTTTTTGGGTCCAAAGAACGATCATTACATTATTTATGTCATGACCCAAGTTTTTCATGTTTTTGTTCACTTTGTTTTTCTGATATTCAGATTGTGTTTTCTTTGTTGTCATTTGACATGTTTAGATAGTTTAGTCTAGTTAACTGTTGAAGACCGGGGCTGGGAAACACTATTGAAGGCTTTGATTTTGTTTTCATGCTCTGTTACTGTTTGAGTTGAAAAACATGATCCTCCTTACTGCTTTTTTTTTAACCGTGTTATGAATAATGATATAGCTCTACATGCATAAGTCAATAACATTCAATGACCTAAAAATGCTGTGCACCTCTCCTGCTTGGTCCATTATTGCTGATGAAACTTCACTCCTTGTCCGTAGCGATAAATTAGAGTGCAGGAGCACTATGTCCAACGAATGATATATGAGTGGAGCTTAAAAGATGCCTGAGACCTTTAAGCCAAGTAATACAAATGATGATACTTTGCTATATTAGACAAAAGCATGTCATATTAGAATCTAAGAAATGTTGCCAGCTTATTAAAAAGAAAAGGCATGATACAAGTATTTATTGAATGCCTAATGTTTCCCTTACAATAAGCATCTCATAATGTTTAAAATGTCCCTTGTTAACATTATTTGTGTCACATCCGTCCAAACAGGTCTAATCCATGAAATGCCATGATACTGCTTTACTCTATTTTTAAATTTTTATGTGTTACACTATTAAAGAATTGTCACGATACAAATTAGTTGAAACAGTTACCATGACAATTTTACATTTCCCTGACAGTTTGGGTTTGATGACAGCTTACCCTCAATGCTGGAAATCGCAGGGTTGTTGGCATTTCCTTGTGTTTTCTTGCCAGAGCAACCTAGAATAAGAAAATTGTAGTCTCAATGGGGATTAAATCCCTCCACTGGTTTAAAAAACAGAAGGGCCAGGTGCTTCTGGCAGCTTTGTGGGCTGGGAGTAGCATAGGCGACTTGTACTCACATGTTTTCTGTAAGTAGTAGCCGCCCAGGCAGCACAGCAGCAGGAGGGCGCAGGCCACGCCAGCAAAGATGTAGATCACCGGCAGCTCGTCTTCAGTTAGCGTCGAAGATACACAAGAGAGGTTGTGGTTTTACAAAGATGTGTTTGGCAGGAAACAGAAACAGTAACTTGCTTAATTGTCCTGCTTGGCGGTCAGACTTATGAGGTTTGACACTACTTAAACCCTACTTACCTTCAACTGCAGATATCTTTATTTTGACATAATGATAATAAAGAGAATAGGACTGCACTTACCTTTTTCCTGATACAACTCCACTTCAAAAAACGTATCCCTGAATTGGCATTGGTAAACACCCAGATCAGTAGGTCGTAGATCATCAATGCGGATGGAGTAGTTTCCCTGTGAGGCCTGGATTGGAAAGGCTTTCACTCGGCCATGTCTGGGGCCCAGGAACTTTAACAGGCCATCAGATGAGAATTCCACCACAGCCACCTCATCAGCCACTTCATTGATTTGGACCCATTTAACCTCGCTAAGGTTACTTTTTATAGAATTGCATGGCAAGAGCACAGATGACCCAAGTTGAGCGCCGAGTTCTAAAGAAAACAGAGACACATGGGAGGAAGTTACTCCCTCCTAAAGTCAATTTAGAATCTCCAACCCGCAAACACACTTGTCCAAAATACCAACCAGCAGAATATATACTTTCATCTTACAAAAGATATTAATCAAGGATAAAGGTGTAAAACCAAAATAAATGTACACTTTTCTTACCAAATGTCAACCAAAATTTAACCAAACATTGCCATTTTAATTTACGGCCGGTATATTTTAAAATAAAAATGTTATGTCTTGACACAGAAAGGAAACTACATAAATTTGCTTTAGATTCCTTTTAAATTTTTTCCATTACAAAGACTAAATAAAGCTATTTGGAAAGAGGACCAGCTAAAGAAGTGACTAAGGCTCATTTGTTGATCCCAATATGTCCAGAAAAAAAGAATTGCACGTTTTTTATACACAGAAAACTTTTTTTTTTTCAAATCATTTTGTTTCAAACGTCCTTTGTAGACTTCAAAGGTCACAATTCTAAAATTAGGTTAAAATTAATTGTGCAATATTAAATGAATAAATCAGATCCAGGCGTTTCTACTGCTCTGCCTTACCCTAAACGCAGCCCCGCTCGGCCTCTTCTCTCAGATACGTTTGTTCAATTCAAAGTCAAATGTTATTCATACCTTTTGAGCATGAATAATAGTACTGTTCACAAAATCTTTTGGAAATATCTTTGGATTTACGTTCCAAACATGAGCCATGTTATGTGATGGTATTTTAACTACAATTCAATTTCCATCAAAGCAATTTTTAAGAGGCTTGTAACGGACATCCTCCAGAGTGTGTTCATTCAAGGGATGAAAATGATAACACGAGTATTGTTCATTATATTATATAGAGATTATTCAATTTAATGATATCATCTGTTCCAGTTTCACAATGATTTTGAAAAAAAAAAAAGGAAATTGACAGTGGAGTTTATTAACCCTATTTCAAACTCTTTATAATGAGTTTGGGATTATTACCATTCAATGGTCATCATTGCAAAATAATGCTTACAAGAATTGACATGTTGATATAAAACGTCTTACCTTGTGAAGACACAAAAATCAGCAACAGCGGCAAAAGGAAGATCCACTTGTCAGCCTTCATCTTGAACCTTTCAAATAGTGTGATCGACTTTGATCGAAACCCAGACGAGGCTAAAGTTACGTCTTGCGTCATGGGACGAAACTTCAAGACCACCAGAGTTTGTTGAGTAGTCCGTGGAAATGCTTCAATGTTTCTCTCCAAACATGGCAGAAACCAATCATTTTAGACAGTTCAGATTAGTCAAACTAAATCAGGATGACTACAAAACATTAATTTAAGTTTTTCTTTTATTTTAAGACAAGCAGGTAGCTTGAATAACTCTCCATAATCGACAATAGTGTCTAACCACTTCCTTTTCTTGACTGCAGAAGTTTCCTGTGTAAAGCGAGCCTTGAATAAGGACAAAAACACACTGATGTTTAAGGTGATAAACAACCACTGTGGGCTGCTTCCAACAAAAGAAACATATTTAAGTTTTAAAGAGCTTTTAAACCTCGTCATTCAACGTCATTTCATGTTCATGTTTCATTTCATGATTCAAATCCAGATTCACAAAGAGAGCATTGTTTTTTAATGACACAAACATCATATTAATCCCTCTGTGCCTCTGGAGAAACATATTGTGACCCTTCAATGGGGTTTTACATCTGTTAAAGGTCACAGCGCTTCTCAGACTAAAACCATTACAGTTCTGGGTGGAATTTCCTCCGCTGTACTGTTAACCATGGTGGGTTGTAAAGAGTATACGCTGGTTACCCAGCACGTGTGGGTCAGAAAACTCTCCATAAAAACAAAAAAACAAAAAACAACAACATAAAAGTTATAATAACCCTCAATTCCACAATCGAAAGTTTTTCTGTTTAAAACTTTAGGAATGGTTAATTATTATATAATTATAAATATATCATATGGATGCTCAGTTTCCTGTTGCAAATCCACATTAACCATAATGACTTTAAAAATAAAACTCAGACCAAGATACGTTTTAAAGAATTATTTTTGAAGCGTGTGGGTGTTAATTCTTTGGCAGACATTGTTGCTATGTAGCCTTTTTCTTTTGGGCAGAAGGTGTGTGGACAAACCCTGAGCATCCAAAAATGAATCCAAACAACGATATTCTACCTCACCTCCGTGAGATGTCTGTCACACAAGTACCCACACAAACAACGTCCAGTCAAACACAACAAGAAAGAAAATCTCAAAACTGGGTATTGCTGTGAAGCCACGATTTAAGCAAATTTAATGGAACGGACTCTTACATTTTCAGTTTCAGTTGTGAGACGTTTGTGTTGAGATGGATGTGTTACTCATTTCAGCTCGGTTGATTTTATTTTGTAAAATGTTTTAGGCTTTTTGATGACGAAACAGGGTGCTTGGATAACGCCACCATGAAGACTGAGTAAGCCAGAGCATCAGCATAATTTTAAACACTTCCGCTTAAAAAACTTCACCAAGCCCGCGGCTGGCCGAATACTTGGAAAGCTTAGCCAACACAGACACCATCACAGTGCATCTAAGGCACGACTCACGACCAACCTACATTTATACGGGAAAATGAGAATAAAGGAAAGAGGGCTGAGGGGGTATTCGTGTGATTTAAACTTTGTATATTATCACGATTGTTGAATTGTAAATAGGCAAAATGGTACAGTAAATGATCAGGAAGTGGTTTGGCATGATGCAGATGGATTGTGGTTTGACTATTCACGATTTCGCTTTTGCTCTGAAAAGCACCTATTTACAGTCTGTAACCCCCATTGTGGTGGAACTGGTCTCCCATATCCAGCAGATCTTTATTTCTTTTTATGTTTTATTATTTCCGTTTTATTTCTGATTAATCAGAGGACACACAAGTGGTAATTTTGACCATATTATGCACTTGTTTTCTTTATTTTACTTGCAATAAAAATTAAACTAAAGTAACCCTACTACTACAAATGGGAGCAAAGTTAACATTGCATCTTCAAATAGGACATTGTTACACAACAGCTTTTTTTTTTTTTTGGCTTGACTCACTGACAAATACGCGGTATTGTACAATATGTCAGGAAGTATATCTATGACAAAGATTCCACAAACGTGCTTCAGAGTTGACCTGTGGTAAGCCAGGCTGTGTCTGACTTAAAGCAGCAACGCGTGCTCTTTTCTGGTTTCTGCGTGTGCTCATCTGACCTAATGTGAATCAGAGACCACACATTGTTTGGCCATTGATTTACAATAGATGGACTTCTAACAGAATAATATCAATTTGGAAAACAAGAATACAAACACAGCAGCACAGTCCCGGTTCGAGTCCCCCGGGGGAACTGGGACCTGGCTGTGGGGAGTTTGTATGTTCTCCCTCGTGTCTGTCTGGGTTCTCTGCAGACACCTCAGCTCCCTCCCGCCGTCCAACACATACATGTTAGGGTAATTGAGTACGCAAACCGGCCCTAGGAGGGAATGTGAGTGGTTGTTTGTCCCCCCTCCCCCGCCTCTTGCTTTGACAGGCCCCAGTGACCCTGTTCAGAATAAGCGGTATAGAAAACAGTTGGTGTGAACAATTGTGTGGGCTGCTTCATCTTCACCAATATATCTACTTGCCTGGAAGTTGAGCACTTTGAATTGTCTTGTACATGAAATGTGCTATACTAATAAACTTTTCCTGCCTGGAAGGTTAACATAATGTGTTTTTTTTAGGGTCCTGGTTTGGTTTAAAGGACACTCATTTTTTCTTATGCAAACAGCAAACCGCATGATAACACAGTGGTGACACAAATTTGCCTAAAATTGTGGCAAGACTAGCAGAGTTACTAGATGGTTTTCATGATTGACTTGAAGATCTGGGAAGGCCCTGTTATAAATGAAAATTCTGAAACAAAATTTCAACTATGTCTTTTTGGGGAGAGAGGAAAACGCAATTAAAGTGATCTGCCCTGGTGGATTTTATTATTCTCTTTTCTGATACATGATCATTTTCATATCAGATATCAAGTTTCCCAGTAGAGTCGTTTGGACCGGAGTTAATTTCCCTCCATCCTCTGCTAATCCAAACTCTGGTGGGAAACTTTAGCATGGCACAGTTTTGCTTATGGTGGGAAATCCAAACAGACTTTCCAGTTGTTTTTTGTTTGTCTTTTTTTTCCCACAGATTAGACTGTGCCAAACTGGGTTTTATTCTTCGTGCTTTTTTCACTCCGAGTTGTAGCAGCATCATGACGTTTAGGTGGTTTGGTCTTCTTTGAAAGGGCCAGTGTAAAAGTGAAGCAAACCAGCTCAAAGAGAGAAATTCCCACGGACTGCCCTGGTGTTAAAGCGCTCATAGTGAGAGTAGGGCGTCATCAAGTGGACAGGTGGGGGGTTTTCCATTCGTACGGTACGCGGTTGGAACACGGTTTGTCTTCATAACAAGTCAAATAGCAAAACCTGGCTAAGTCTCTCTTTCTAGAGGGGAGGGGGGAGACATTTGCTCAGCTTAATTCAGTTCTGTTGTAGCTGACACATCTTTGGGCACGATCTGATGACTCCATGAATATGATACATACCATCACTTACGTGGCGCACAGCTCACGGAAAGAGCAAAACAGGCACCATGTAGCTACTTCACTTTGAGAATGTTAACATCTTCTTGCTGCCTGCTGCAGTTTATTATCTTACTGACTTGCCAGAGGTAAGAAAGAAGACTTTTTAGTTGAGGGGAATCGTTCTTGTAAATCTGTCTAAATGTTAAATATTTGAGGAGGCTATGCCTTTCTGTTTTAGAAGCACTCACAGTACATTTTCTGACTTGTCATCATTTATTTATGTCTCCCTTTATTTTCCTTTGGTATTTTTTGGTGTTTTTACACTCGCAGAGCCCACAATTGGATGGGAAGGCATCTGTCTCCGCTCCTGGTTTTAGGGTGACTGCATTTGTCCGCCACCGGCTCCGACAGGAGGGTTTGCATCCTGTGTTCTGTTATTGGTGCACCCTAAAAAAAAGATAGAAAGTGTTTTAATTGTCAATCCATTCTATTACTGAATCAACAAATCACCTATGCAGCTACATCTCTCAGTTCTCGGGGAGTGAGAGCCACACAGGGCAGATATTCACCTGTGCGTTTAAGGAAGCGGTAGGATGCCAAAATACAGATTAGAACCACACCGAAACAGATGTACAACGACAGCCTTATGTAGTCACTTCCAGCACCTGCATGATAAAATGTGTGTTTATAAAGGCATTTTTCATTGGTGCTGTTAACTTGTGTGTTGTACAAGTTGCTGCTGTGTGTAATAAAAATATAGAGAATAGGACTGCACTTACCTTTATCTTCAAACAACTCTACTTTCAAAAACGTATCCCTGAAATGGCATATGTAAACGCCCAGATCAGTGGGTCGTAGATCATCAATGCGGATGGAGTAGTTTCCCTGTGAGGCCTGAAGTGCAAAGGCCTTCACTCGGCCATGTCTGGGGCCCAGGAACCTTAACAGGCCATCGGATGTGAATTCCACCACAGCCACTCCATCATCCACTTCATTGATTTGGACCCATTTAACCTCGCTACTTTTTATAGAATTGCATGGCAGGAGCACAGATGACCCAAGTTGAACGCCGACGTTCAGACCTTAATGAGAAAAGTTGAAATAAGAAAGTAGAACATTGTAAGTCGCTTTCGATATAATTGTCTGCCAAATGCATAAACGTAAACACTTATCTGTGTGTGTGTGTGTGTGTATAAAGGTATATGCATACTGAGGGATCAAATACTTATTTCCCTCAATGAAATACAAAGTAATTAATATATATTCCTTAGATTTTTTTTCAGGATTTTGTTTGTGATATTCTGTCTTTCCATGTTAGAATACATCTACCATTAAACGTGCAGAATGATCACATCTTTATTAGTGGGCAAACGAAGAAATTCAGCGAGGGATCAAATACTTCTTGGACTCACTGTATATACTGAGGATTAAGTTAAATTTGGGCTTTCATGAAGTTTTAGAACGTTTAGAATTCCTCTAAATATGTAATATTTTAGAAGAATATCTCTGTGTAAACCACAGTGACCACAAGTCCTGCATTTTGTTTTTATCTGACTAGTTTCTTGTGTTTTTCTTTGGCTCACCGATGTCATGTATGATGTTACAACGAAGAGATCGTTTTAATCTCAAGCGGGAAATCACTTTTGGCAGGATGACGACCTTTAAAATGAGATGTAATACACCTTTTTGAAGGTATTACAGAGGATGCAATGACAGCACACAATTGTCAAAGCCCCAATCTCTGGTCAAACGAATCTCAAATGCTAATTTTTCTTCCACACCGAGATTTCACTTCCTTTTCAGGCAACAAGAATTATCACAGGAAGTAGAGATGACCTGATTTTCAAAAATAGTTTGTGAGTGAAAGTGAATTAGAAATTTTGATAGGGTGCCTTGAGTGTGGCCAAACTCTTCCTCAGCTGCTCAGCTCCCCCCATCACCCTGCTCACAGCCACACGCAAAATGGTGCTCTTCAGAGAACGTTTCCACGGCTTCTTTCAATATGATACGAGGAAATACGTTGCCACCCAAAATCTGTCTCTCGGGCTTCTGCATAGACTTTATCAGCTGTCTATCCTCCTATACATAATAATGTAAGTGCATTCAGAATTTGAATACTGTGCTGGGATTGCTGAACCAGACCCTTGGGAACCAACCGAACTCAAGATGTGGGGAGTTCAATTGCCAGAGTTGTGTCATTCCCCAAAGTAAAATGTGCTTCATCTCTTTTCCAAGCTGGGTTTTCTTCATCAAGAAAGGATACCAGGAAGTGGATTCGGACCTGCAGAGCTCCATCATCATCAAGATGAAGGGAATCTCCATGACAAACATCACCGAAACCGGTCCGTGGGTGTGGGGGCCCGAGGACTATGTCATCCCGCCACAGGTGAAAAAAAACAAACCCTCTAGTGCTCCAGAAGTTTTTTTTTATGCCAAACGGCCACCTTCAGCTGCCCCTCGGCATTATGCCAGGACTTTCTTATAGTGTTTTCTTCACACGCGCAGGGGGAATATGTGATGTTTGTTGTAACCAGTTTTGAAGAGACGCCAAACCAGAAGCTTGGACACTGTGCTGAGGTGAGAACGTTTGTATTTTGTATTTTATGCGCACTCAAACCACCAACTTGTTGACCACCTTTTTGGTATCTTTCAGAGAAAACTCCCCTAAATTAGTATCTTCATGTGTGAGGCAGGATTAGAAGTTGTTTTGATGTTGTTTCCTGTCTTGAGAGTGGAAATGGAGGTCTTTTACACAATAGTAAAGGAAAAGTTTTGTTGTTATGCAGAAGTTTGGGTGATATGGGCACAGTCTTTTACTGAAACAGGAGCTTATGTGGCTAAAGTTTCACTTTAGCACCATGTGGACCCACACTCTGGTTTGTCACTTTTTTCCTGTTTTTGTAGTCTTATGTGGTCTGCTTGCTTTTTTTTCTTCTTTTACCCCTTTCAGAGATGCGATTGAGATAAGATTTGAAACTGCTAACATGGCCTTACTCCTCTGTCTGCGTCCTCTGAGTGTGCGTCTCTGCTAATTTCTCTCGCTTGGATCTTACGCGGCAACTATCCTAACAGTTTGTGGAACGTGAACTCAGCCACTCTTGCTCCAGCAACCTGCTTTTGTGTACGTTGAGGCTCCCATCAGGTCCACCGTGTGTGAGAACGCACAACACCACACACTCTATATACCACAGTATATAGAACAGTCCATGGGTGCAGTTTACTTTCGGTTTTCAAACCCAGACCACCGTCACTCCGAAAACCCCTGAACACAAAATGCCAACGCGTTATTTTAGTGTAACTGTGATGAGATTACTGTACTTATGTACAAAGTCCTTTTAATAGCTAAACATTCTGACCAAAGGAAAAAGGTAATTGACTTTATATTTTTAAAACTCTAATTTCAGAAATAAAAGAAATTCTGCCATAACTTTACTCAAGCTATTTTCTTGTCTTTTTTTAAAGTGGAAACTTTACATCTCAGTTTCCTGCTAAGTACAAAGTATACCATCTGTTTATGACTAAAGGTGTGGTTGTTCTGATACATAACTCGTAGATATATTACTATATATTATATTTCATTACTCTTAATTATCTTTAGTTTTTTTGGTTATCTATCTGATCTAGTGTTACAGACTTTTAACAATAAATTAAATTGTTTTAAAACCACAATGTTTTTGTATTATTACTGAACTTTAGCATATTTATTTGATACTTTCCCAATACTGTCAGTGAGGGTTAAGACAATGTTTTTGCTTTTCATTCTAAAAGATAATTACTCATACATAAAGATGATTGATTGATGGATGACAGGTAGAAGCAATGCACCCTGTGATCCAGCAGAGGGTGCTCAAGTATAATGTAACTTTTTACAATTTCCATTTTTATTAGGGGAAAAAATTAAAGGATATGATAGGATATGTCTGTTTTATAGTTCTATTTCAAAGCAAAAAAATAATTATTCCATATTTTTTCCAAATAATGTCAATATTAAAACCCATTTCTCAAATAACTGGTAAGAATTAATTCATACGTTGTCCAAACCACTGGCTAAAGCCTATCCCAACTTACATTGTGCAAGACTAGTCAGAACTTGTATGTTGTAATGTATTCAATTGTAACACCAAAACCTAACTTTGCTTTCCAATCTAAAACATAAATAGTTGAATGCACCATTGTTTTAAAATAGTACTAAGTCAAATCAAAATAGGAAAAGTTCCCTTTTTTCAAGAGTAATAGTGTTTGTTTTTGTTTTTTGGCATCTGTTCCCAGAGCCCTCGAGTGCTGGATGGCCACTGCAGGGGTGATGAATACTGTGACAAGGGAAGGACGGTAGTGGCCGGTCATGGTACGCAAAGAAACATGGAGGGGGGGAGTGTCAAGGTGGGGGGTGTTGAAGGGAGGACTCAGGTGCGGAGATGAGGGAAACAAGGTTTTTTATAACAAAACGGTGGAAGTCCAGACAAAGTACAAAGCAAAGCTGTGGAAAACTGTGATCAAAGTATCAAAGCAAAGCAAACAAGACTGTGGCAAAGTAACAAAATAACGATTGACAAAACTGTGACAAAGACTGTGACTATGTCAAAGAAAAGACTATGGCAAAACAAACCTGGCGTGGGGGTGACGAAAGACTAGATGGACTAGAACGCACTCGCACAAGACAAGGGGAAACGAGGACTATTTAAACACATGAGGGAGGGAAACCCCAGGTGTACACAATAGGTAATCAAGACATGACGAGACACCAGACGTGACAGGGAGGTTATTCAGTTTGGAAACAATCTTGTTTCTTATTCAAATAAACTGTTCCATGTCTGATTATTCGATGTGTATCATTTTGTCATTTGAAATGAAGTACTGTGCTGGTTGTTTTTAGGTGTAATGACTGGACGATGTTTGGTAAAGGATGGAAGCTCCAATGGTACCTGTGAAATCTTTGGCTGGTGTCCCACTGAAAAAGCAATCAAACAACAGTAGGAAAAACAGCAAAAAACAGAAACAGAAATTATTGATCATTCTTATTCTTAGCTCTTACGTGCTGGCTTTTTGAGCTGTCTAAAGAAAGTAGCAGCACTAAAGTAAACAGAAATAACTGAAAGATCAGCATTGCATTTACTCATCAGATAATTTTAAGCTACTACACCAATCTTGATTTGACACTAAATGTCTAAGTTTTATTAAAATATGTCTGCTTCCCCCCCCCAGCAAAGCAGTGCTGAAAAACGCTGAAAACTTCACCATATACATCAAGAACTTTATCCGATTTCCAAAATTTACATTCGCCAAGTGAGCCTTTTCCTTTAAGCTGGGAACAAATAATACAATTCAAGTGTTTGATTGAGGAGAACCGTCAGCTGGTTTAAAGCAGCCTGTGTCTATTATATCTGAGGTCCAACATTCTTGAAACAAACGATCGGTCCTACCTGAAGAAATGCCGATATGATGAACTGCGGCACCCATACTGCCCCATCTTTAGCCTGGGAGACATTATCAAGAAGGCTGGAAGCACGTTCCAGGACTTGGCTACCTCAGTTAGTATCACACTTCCCACCTGTAGAAAATAACTCTCCTAGATATGCACACATTCACACACAGGCATCAATACAAATTTGTTGTATTGAGGCTATTGTTTGCACATATATGCGGGTGCTGTTATGTTACAATGTTGGCTATGATATTTGAACAATGTCAAAGGAAATTTTTATTGATTTTCAGGGAGCGTCCATTGATGTTGTTATAAAATGGGACTGTGACCTCGACAAAGGCTCCTGTCATCCACAGTACAGTTTTACTCGCCTGGACAACGGTCTCTCCAACAATTCTATCGCAAGGGGATTTAACTTCAGGTGAGTCAAATAAATACAACCATTTGTTTGGCTCATTGCACAGACGTAGTGCTCTAAAACAGAAAAAGCTTGATGGGGTTACAGATGTCATGAAGTGGCATACACTACTTAAAGATGAGTGTTTATGTTTTACTTTTTCCCCCCTAAAGACACGCTCGATATTTTAGGAATGCTGCTGGCGAAAGTTCCCGCATGCTATATAAAGTCTACGGCATAAGACTTAACATAATAGTGGATGGAAAGGTATGTAGTCTTCATTTAGCTCGGTGTTTGAAATATTGGTAAAGCAATATATATGAGAAAATGTAAAAGAAAAACAAAGACTGATGTTTGTTAGATTCTGGTTTGCTCATGCAATGTGTCTTTTAAACTAACTAACTTAAGCTAATAACAACTGGCAGGGGGCTAAAAGATTCAACGGAAGTATTTCAGAATCTCATATTACTTCAATATATTATAGACAGCACATAAGTTAAATTACTAAACAGCTTTTATGTTAATGTATGTTTCATAGTTTTTGATTAAGTTACATGACCAAACAGAAAATTGTGTTTTTCTTAATTAATGTACTCACATTTGTGAATATTTGGATAATATACAATAAGATTAACGATTAACAATCAACAACATGATTGTTTTTTTTTCTCAGATAGTCAGTCAAGCCAAACAATATATGCTCAAGGCAAAAAAAAAAATGGTTCAATGCAAGTAGAAATAAAGTTGAAAACATTTTGCCATTATTTGGTGAAAAAGGCCAAAATACCAATATGAATCTAACACGTCTTCAGGGGGTCCTTTGCAAAACTGGGAAGGACTATCTAGAACCTTTTAAAAAATCATTGTAAAAAAGCTTTGGATCCAATCTCAAACCTTGATCATTAAAAAAAAAATACTAACCCAAACGTGATAATAAGGGTAGTTGCAGTGATTTCAGACGGAAGGTAACTAAAACTTTCAACACGGACCACACAATAAAACAAAACCATGTTAATCTACTTAAATGTATATATTCAAAAAGCCACTCTATTGCATTCAACTCTTGGGTCACCATCTGGTTATTACTTCCAGGTTAGCATTGGATAATTTTTTTAATTTGTATGTACATTTTTGGGACCTCTTAATTTGTTTTGTGAAATGTAAAATTGCTCTTCTAAATGTGAATTTGTCCCAAGCTTTTTAAGAGAATTTGTAATGTTGTTTGGCACATCCAGGCCAGCATAGTTCTCACTGAAAAACTTTTTACCAGGCTGGAAAGTTCAGCATTTTACCGACAGCCATCAATGTAGGGGCAGGACTGGCGTTAATGGGGGCTGTGAGTATCAAAATAAACATGAGACATTCTTTGTTCAGGATTACATGTGTTTAAGTATCACAGAATATAGAGTAACAATTCTTTTCAACAGGGAGGATTTGTATGCGATTTTCTACTTCTCTACGTTTGTAAGAAGAGGGATGCGTACAGACATTTAAAGTATGAAGCAGCAAGGTAAAAAAAAAATTCACATGTTTTTCCTTTGCAGTAACATTGTTGGTTTATCTATTTAGCAAATGCTTTTATCCAAAACAACGTACAACACATCAATTGAGGTTGGATTAGGGTAGCATGCAGAGCATTGCCTGGGAACCCTTACTGGATAGTTGCCTGAGTCAGGATTTGAGCCCCCAACCTGCTGTCCAGCGACATAAAGATAGATCAAGATTTTTAGTATAATATTCAGTGTTGTTGCAAGATTTTTATGAATTGGTCTCCACAGTGCTGTTGTGGACTGTTATTTCAAAGCAGGAAGGTTCTTGGTTTGAATCCCGGCAAGGGGCCTTTATGTGGGGAATTAAAATGTTCTCCCTGTGATTAAATGGGTTCTCCCCGGGTCCTCCCACAGTACAGAAACATGCATGTTAGGTTCAATAGTGATCCTAAATTGCCTGTTGGAGTGTGCGTGGTTGTCTCTCTCTCTATATTGGACTGGAGACCTGTTGCCGTGACTCTTGCCCATTAAGAGCCCCACTTGTTGCTGCTCTGATAATCTAACTGTATGCTTTGCAAAGCATTATACCAACTTTCGGTGATAGGTTTGTGATTGCTAAACTTGTTCTAGAGTGTAACGTTCTGTCTGTTCTGGTACATTTATGTCATGAGCAGTTATTCTGCTCAAAACATTTCTAAATGCGTTCTTATCCTTCTCCATAGAGCAGAAGACACTTAAAAAAAAAGTCAAATTTCAAGTGTGTCTGTTTCTCTGCAAAATGTTGCCACTGTCCAAATAACATGGGTATTTTTTTTCAATCTTTGCTTCAGGTGGGTAGATACAGAGGCTGGAGATGGGGACCGGCAGATGAAACCTCAGGACAGGTCAGTTATGTAGTTAATTCTTTAAATCGTTGTTAACATATGACATACATTTACGGATGGCTTACTGTGAAAGTGATGGTAGGTAGATGTATATCTGTCACTCACCAACTTTAGAGTTTTTTAAGGTTAATTTGACTTTGAAGAAATGTAATTTAACCCATTGCATCCCTAACAATTCTGCTGTTTCCAATTAAAATGAATGAACCTAAAATTATTGCTGAAATAGCAAGAATTGTACACATTTGTTAATTTACAAATCTGTGAAAATCAGTTAAAAACAATTGTGAGGTAAGTACGTGTTAAGCTGTCATTTTAATAACGTTGATACCCTCTTTTCATTCCGCAGCACCTGAAGACATTGTGGACAGCAAATGTCAATTTGATATTTTTTTCTTTGAGCTTTTAGCATGACATTAATCTTGCATAACATGATATGTATTGTTTTCAATTAGAATCAAGATATTTTAAAAAACCCTCATCCATTCTTCGTCCTCAACCTAGTGACATAGTGGCATTTTGTGTAGAATGCACATGATTTTTCAAGCTATCTTGATACCCTGTGAGGAGCAATTACCACGTCTGCATGTTCATTTTTGATTGAATTGTATTAACTTTGTTTAAGGAAAGGCAAATGGAAAAAGAGTTACTTGAAAAAACATAAAAAAGGAATTGAAAAATGCAGAATGGTTGGTTTAATAATATAAGAAAAACCCAACGCAACATGAAGGGGAAATCGAAACCGCCTTGGCATCAATAAAGTGATGTGAATCATCAGCTGTTTCCTGTTAAAGCTGAGACATAAAACCAGATGTGATAAAAGAGCCCACATATTCCCCGAGATTAACGTAAGCAAGAAAACAATCTACATTTTAAATCTTGTGATTGTCCAGTGCAGCTGTTTCTTACCCCCCTCCTTATGTTTTTTGTCCGGTTAAAACAAAATTGAAGTACAGGTATTCATCCACCCTTTTATTGGGTTTATTCCGCTTAATTTAATCACTTTCAAAAAATGTTTTCCTTTGCTTTAGGCAAGAAACCATGCTGATCTATACTTTTAAATTCTGTTTTATTGATTGGGCAGTAATTTAGTTAAACTTGAAAGTAGGATCTCCCACAGAAAATTAATTTTTAATACACTTGGATTTAACAACTCTTAACAATATGGCCAAGTTGAACTGAAGATAACTCTTTTCAACTAGGGTGCTTATTGAAATCGATTTACATATGACATGTTATTGTTTAATTGTGGACAAAGTGGACCATTGGCATTTCATTAAAAACGAAAGAAAAGTCAAATTGAAACAGCTGACCAACTGACACTGGGCAGTTTCTGTTGTTTTGAAAAAACAAAAGTTATATAGTACAGCGATAAGGGTCTTTCTGTTGAAGTGTCATAGTTTTTAATGAGTTTTTAGCTAACAGCTGTTAATCGCTGTGACCAAATCCAAAGGATTGACGTTGTAGGCAGATATGTAACCATAGACCATTTTGTGAAAGAAATTGAATATCTCTTTAATATGAAAGAAAATCTCTGTGAAGAAATGGAGTTCCATTCCTAATTGCGAAATAGATGGTTGTCCCTTTAAATTTTGATCTCCACCGTACACTACTTCACTGGCATACGAGCTGAGAAACAATAGATGTACTTGCACCAACACAATGACTGACGTGACGCCACCTCCAAAATATTCAGAAATGGGAAAGTGAAAGTGAGTAAACCAGGTTCAGATTCCACATGTTTTCACAGACAATGAATAGCTGAGTGGCAGCTTGTTCAGCAGCTTTTCTGCAACGTGACTTCAGCATTTGTTTTTACATGGCTGACCGACACTGAGGTGAACTCGGTGCCAAAAAACCGAGTCGTGGAGCTAGCAGAAACCATAATTCAAATATTTTTGTTTCACTCTGACATTAACAAATCAAAACAATGGTGCCTTTTTAGATTAGACAGTAGGAATGAACTTTTTATGACAAACCATGTCCCTTGTGCCGTTGAAAGAAGGTGCTGACAAATTTGCAGCAAAAGAAAAGAAGTTTCACCTCACAATCTCATGGCAGCCTTAAACGACTAATCAGGGCAACAGATTAACTGAACGTCAAACCTACAGATATGTTGTGATGTAACACAGACTGTAACAATATGACTGCTTTAGTTTGCGGGAACAAATGTACCCGTTACACACTATCAGGTTAGACCGGGCCTCCCGAAGAACTCTAAGCCTTTGACAATTTTCTCTCAGGTGTCACAGAACATTTTTCCCCCGTCGGTGTGCATTTGATTCAGCTATCGTTTCTTCTGAGTATTCCATTTCTGCCAACAGCCCTCTATCAAGCAATTTCTAAGATGTAGATTGGTTAAGCATGTAGGAGTTATCTTATGCGAATTCAGAGAATATCAAAGAAAAAAAATCATCCTGGAATATGAATTTAATCCGAGTCTGAAGCCCTTTCAGTCTAATCTCAGGCATCACAGGTCACCGGTCATTTCAGGAAGTCTGCTGGCCTGTGTTGGTTCTGACCTTGACACACACGCATGTCAAAGACAGATCTGTTCAAATATTTCAGAGATTTTATTCTAACAGCCATTCACCCATGGACATGTAAGAAAGATGATTGAATAATATATCCACAGAAAAAGTAGACTGTCATTGAATCCTGATTTAACAGATCACTGAGCCTGTTTGGCAATTGTGCAATCTCAAATATGTTAGTTTGTGGCTTTATTAAATGTTTTGTGCAGTTTTTCTTATTTCAGCTAACCCCATGCACTTTCCTGGTAAACTACTTGCTATTTTCTACTGTAACTCCATTTTTTGTGCACCCAATTATGAGCAAACCTACAATAACATACTTTTGGCAGTCTAGTTAAAACAGCCCATGCATGCTGTGCACAGCTTCCCAAAAAGCCGCTAAAAGGTAGGTAGCAAAAGAGAAGTGCGCTATAATATCTATTTGAATGGAAAATAGAAAGCACGGAAAACAAGTAAACCTGTTGAAATTCTCTCTATTTCTTTTGTCTGCAGAGACCAGGTGTAGAAAAAGAACACACATTTGATCTGATTGAAAGTTTTTAAGCTGTGTATATCTGACACCATCTGATGGGAGTTCACCTGCTTGGAGCTAATCTCAAAGCTTATCTCAAAAATTCAAAAGGTGATAAACAACGGCCCCCTGAATGCAAACGGGAGAGGGTTCATTCGAACTTTGCCTAATCCTCTGGCACGGCTTGAGAGGACGGGTTTACTGGAACGCTCGCCTTGAGGAAGTGCACGACTGGGTTGGTGTCTGGTATGTGGACGGGTGACGGTATAAAAAGCGTGCCGGAGCAGGAGGTTTGTCCACATACCGCCCGACAACATGAAGCTTCTCCTGATCTCCATGTTGCTCCTGCTGCTGTGCAGCGCCCAAGGTGAGGGACTGCTTGACTTGATCCCGTTTTTACCATGTATCCCAACGCAAGTTTGCATGTTAAGAGCACAGAGGTACTGGATCGAGACGGATTGACGGTTAAGCTAACGTCGTCCGATGGATTCTGTCTTCCCCACAGTGCTCGCGCTCAGATGCTACACCTGTGAGGGGGAGGGCGACGACATCTGCAAGACCGAAACCGACTGCCCGGCCTCCTCCCAGTACTGTAAGACCGTCCAGCACGGTGAGTGGAACTCTGCTGCTTTGATTCCATCCTGCTTTTTTGATGGATTATGTTGGCACGTGACGCGACGCGATAGTGACCCGTGGCCTTTGCCCCCCTCCCGCAGGCGATCAGCTCTCCCGGACGTGTGAGGAGTTCTGCGCCGAGGACTACTTCACCACCTGCTGTGAAGAAGACATGTGCTAGACCTGACCTGTCCCCCGGGGACCTGCACTTTCACTTTTAAAAATCCAAGCCAGAATGAATAACGTATTGATTAATATGAATATGTACGCATGATGTCAAAATGAAACTTTGTGATTCTATCCTTGATTTGTACCTTGATTGAAATACGCTAATGTCAACTGAGAAATGCCGGGGGGGGGGTGAAAGCATAGCAACCACGCGTTTGCACTCTTAATCTCTTCCTGATGTCACTTAGTGGGTCAGCGCAACGGCCTGCCGCTATGTGGGTCACTGTCGGGCACTACTCTGAAGCAAAGCTGGACTGTTTTCTTTTTCTGTTTCAAACATATTAAAGAGGAGAGAGAAACTGGAAACCGATCATATCTCTTTCATTCAGAGGGCAACAGGCTTGTTTGCTGCCTTTCGTGGTACCGTCATTGGTTCTATTTGAGTCATGTGAAACTGCTCCTTTGAACTAACCTTATTCAAGGCTTTTGCATAGGTAGTTTCAGGCCCTTGTTTCTAATCCTGTATTTCTTTTGTGGGGAAGGGTGTGGGGGGGGGGGGTTATAAATGAGGCTGAACGCACAGTACAGCGCAGGCCGTAAACCGAGCTGTGGTTCACACCTGCAAATTATCTGGCCGCTTTTTTTGGTTTTGTTGTGTCATACCTGGTTGCTACCAGGCAAGGAAAGCAGAGCACCTGTTGGACCTGTTCCCCCCAAAGACAACATTACAACAACAATACATTTCTCACAGGCAGTGGAGGAGATTTTCTTTTGGTTTGTTTGTTTTCATTATGACTCCCGTCGCTGAAAATGTGTCACCTAACCGGGTCGCTTTAAAGAGCTTTCTTCAGCTGATGTGTGAGATAAATAGTTCTTATTCAAACCATATGATAGTGTTTATGATCGGGGCTGGACAAATGTAGGTCACTACGCCACATTAATCTCTTGAGCGATATCTTCTCTGCATTAAAAGGGCTCAGACATCAGAGGTGGCTGCAGTGGATTAAAAGATCGCAACCTTTCGACTTAATGCGAAGCCAGTTAATGCACATGACACCATTCGGAATAAAGAAATAAATGAAAAAGATAAACTCCTGCGATCGGCATGTCATCGCTTTAACATTCCCTTAAAAACTATTCATTATTTCCACTGCTTTTGACAGCACAGAGGAAATACTGCGAGTTTCAGGAAACCAGTAGCTGTACAGCGGGCTGGTTTTGACTCGGGGAAACAAATGGTAAACACATCTTCTGCCCACACTGGAAAGAACTGCGGTTCAGAAGGTGAAAGCAGTGCACACCTTGCTCACTGTTGTCTTATTTATTGTTTTGCGCCAAAGACAGAATGAAGAAATAGCTGTTTCAGAGGAGCTGCTCTCTTGTGCTCAGGCTCTTTTTTCTTAAATGCAGTCTTTCAAACAGATACACTGCCTTTATCTCTACCTCTAACAAAGAGTGAGTGGTTCTGTGCCAGCTTTCTTTTGAATCCTTTAAGGTAAATGTTGAATTCTTACGTTGAATGTATTCTTCTACATCAGTTTCTGTCACATTTTTCAAGTTTATGAGGTTTTTAACAACCAGGAAGTGACCACAGTGTTTGCATAACCCAGGGAAACACATTATAAGCGGTTCAATTCTTTGGAGGAGTGTTTAATTTTAAACTCCATCTGATGTGAGTAAACTAGCTTTGTGCCAAATCTCAAAGCTAACCTCAGAAATTCAAAGGTCTTCAGCAGCATCACTGGGTTCTTTTTAACTTTACATTATCTTTTTGGGCAACTTCAGTCATTTCCCACTCGAAGATTAATAAGTGGGCCTTTTTACTGGGTTATAATTCTAATTAGTGACTGAAATGATCCCCACCCTCCCTTCCTCCACCATTTGAAAACTGTGATGCTTATCAAAACAAGTTTCTGTGGTTACCATTTGCTCCATGGCGAAAATGCTCCTATGAGCTGTATTTCTTTCTTCATGCCCGTAGAGGGCAGCATTTCAAGTTGCCTTTACGTTGAAGCAGTTTGCTATGACCATTTGGCTCAAAAGCCTTTCCCATCGATGTGTTGAATAGTGGCCTGGATTTTAAAAAAAGTGTTTCCTTTCTCATTAAACTCCTTCAGTTACGACTGAACCAGATCAAACTATCATCAAAAACTCACACTGTGATCACCTGCACTTTGCTGTACTTCTCTATCATTCTGTATACTTTTACTCACTTAAACTTTCTGCGTATATACATCTATAGTTATATTTCACTGTGAAACCTAATACTGGTTATTATATTCACATTTAGAGAAAGCAGTCATGCACCAACTACGCCAAAACAAATTCCTTGCATATCTAAAAACGTCATTGGCAATCAAGCTTTTTCTGATTTAGGTGTGACACATACTGTTTTCTTTGAGACTGTGACAGGATTCAGAGGAACTGCTAGCAGCCATTTTTTTTTTTTGTTGTGGAAAATGTTCTACATATCTGAGGTTTTTCTCCTATTTCAAAGAGGGCAGCAGAGATGATTCCCCAAATGACATATCTCATAGCTTTAAAAACGACTCGCAGAAAGACTACTGGAGAGGAGATCTATGAAAAGAAAAAGGTAATCGGGGCCTGTTTATATCCCCAGCGGCCAGCAGACCGCACTACCTGCTGTGTCAGCCACTGGCAAATGACCCCGTTTACGCTACACTACCAGAATAATTATGCCTTGTATGTTTGGAAACCGAAAAGCAATTCTCAAAACGATTAGGCTTTCTATCTTGTTTAATCTGTTCTGCACAGCACACGCAAATAGGCTCCAACCGGCAAGTTTACAAGATTGGCTTTACTGTTTTGCGTTTCCCCATCTTTCTGAATGCTAAATTAAAGCATCCTTAGTAATATTGGCTGACTTTGTTCACGATTTTTCTCATTACATGTTAACAAAACATCCTTTGAAAACTTGATTTTCAACAGAAGGGAAAAATATTCAGCAATGTGGCAATCAGTGAGCCTTTTTGTCTTCTTTTTCTTTCATACAAAGGCTGTTTATTCGTATTATTAATGAGCTCCATGGTCTGTATGTCAGCTGGGGTTTTTCTCAGAGCTGTAAATTCAGGTTTTCTCTGGGCACTCTGGATTTCCCCCACTTTTCTCTTATAGGTTAATTTGTGATTTCAATGGATTGTTCTGGTGTATGTTGATTGTTCTTTGTCTCCGTTTAGTAACTTGTCAAGTATGTGCCCTCCCAACCAAAATCAGATGGGGTATGGCTCCAGCCCCTGGAACCCTCTGACTTTTAATAAACAGGTACAGAAAATGGATGTTAAAAGATGAACATTTCTATATATATTTCTGTTTCATAAGGCACCATAAATAACCGCAGTTCCGTTCAATGCAGAACAATAGAAATGAATATAAGAAGAAATGATAAATGAGAGAGAAGAAGGGGAAAAAACTGACAACAACAGCACAATCTGCTGCCCCACCAGTGCTTGTTGTTTTCAGGGCGTTCTGCCTCCGCTGATAGGGTAATGGTGGTCCATCTATTGGATTAGTGCAGGGATTTCACTGTGGTATTAATCTGTGAAGACAGCAGGCGACCTGGAGCCAGGCTTGCTCTGAGCTGTAGTGACTCTCTGGCCACTGGCTGTCTGTCAGCAAGGCTGTTTCTTGCTCCCCGTTGACGCACCGAAGCGTACGCGACACCTCTCGGGCCAAAATGAACCTTTTCTGCTTTTCACTGGTAAGAGATTCTCATCTTTTTTTTCTGGCAGACTAGAAGAGGCTTTGTGGTGAACCATTGACATGGGGGGAGGAAAGAGGAAGTCTGCCACAGTGGGCAGATTTTCTCTGTAAATCGCAGAATGTGGTGTAATGTCTTTGACGCTCAACATTTCTTTAAATGTACATGAACTAAAGCCATGGAACTGGACATGAAGTGAGAGAGCAAACCGACTGTTGCCTGTTGGCATTTGATCAAGTCTCTGCACATGGCTGACAGATTTTTTATTTGCTCAATTCAAATGTTGTTTTGTTTCAATCCTGGAACTGACCTAAATTTATTTGGTCTTTCCTGTCGCAATTGACCTTGATTTAGTTCTCAGAGTAGACTTGCTCTCACAGTTGGATTGAGTGATGACTTTGTGTGTTGCAAGAAGACATAGCATGACGGCAGGTTGTTTTATTTAAAGGCCCCTTTAGACACCATGCTTAATTTGGTCACAGTGTCTATCGCTGTAAATCCAGTTTACATGTGTGATGAGTTTCACCCCTGATTTTTGGACAGGTTTTAACACCAAATGCTAGCAGAAGCGAAAGTGGAGCGCGCTGTACAGGCACCGGTTTTAGAAGAGCGCAAGCAGAACTATTTTGTTTTGTTTTAAATCACAGCAAGAGAGCACAAAATCAAAAGTAAAATAAAGGCACCAAAAAAGCAGCACGTGTGTTCTGGAACTGAAAACGGATGCATTTCCAGTCCACTGACAACTGCTGCACAGAAAAGGATCGCCGAGGAGAAGCCCTGTTAGTTTGTTCCTAGAGGAAATCCAGAGATGCCAAACGAATTATTAATCCACTGAAATCTGCTCTGAGGAAATTTGATCCACTCCAACGTCGGTGGTTGCTGAGCGATTTTCAAAAAAAAAGAGCTTGAAGGCATCAGATTTAGTGATTTAATTCAAATCCTCGCGAGTGTAATTTTGATGCTTTGGATAAAAATAACACCAACCAACAAATCTATACATTTGTGTTCAATTTTTATGCACATTATGGATTATTTAAATCTAAAAGTGGTTTATGTGTGTGTGTGTTAGTGGCCGCACAGGACTCCTTTTTAATCTGCCATCAATGGACTCATTCACTCATGGAATGTCAGCAATCAGGCTCAAAACATCAATGAACCATTACATTAGATGTTTTTATCTTTGTGGATATTGCTTATGTCTGTGATTTCCACTGACCCACTTTAGCATCGCAAGTACGTTTTGAACCGAAGATCATCCACTGACGTACTTATACTCATTGCTCATTGAATTAAAAGATAAAAAGAAAGAATGCGTACTATCAAATTGTGCTCGTGTAGGTAAAACTGTCCTCAAACTGTCCAGGTGTTCATTTTGTGAATAGGTGACATTTACCCCAAGCCAGTTGAAGAACTAATTAAATCCTTTTTCTTTCTTTTTCCGAGGCAACTATTCCATTAGTTGCCTGGGAAGTTTTGCTGAGTCGTTCATTTGTGAATGCTACTGTAACCCTCACCCTGTCTCTCTGTTTGGCGTCAGGAGGGGTCTATGGACAGCCTGTACGAGGCGGTGCAGAGCTCCAGCGACGGCGCGCCGCCGCCGCCCATCCCCAGCCGCTCGTCCAGCCGCTCCTGCAGCCGCTCCTGCAGCCCGGCGCTCCTGCTGGAGGAAAACGCCAAATGGCGAGGCTCCGGAAGATCCATATCCCTGGTGACTGCGACTCTTTGCGACAAACGGCAAACGGTTCTGGCAGGGTCACGCCGGGTCGCGTTGAGAGATTGGCATTTGGAGGCTCCAGCATACCAGACTGTTCAGACAAAATAAAGCTGATTATGATATGAACAGATCTCCCTGACAGATGTTCCTGGCGCTGGATTTTTCCAAATGTTTAATTCAAGCCTTTTAAACAAAATGTCCCTGATGCTCCGGCAGTAAACTCCGCATTGGCCTATAGTACACATGTTAATTGTGCTCGACACATCCACTGGTAGGGATCCAGCTGTGCACAGACTGTTAGGTGCTTAAGCGTCTCTTTTTTTCCTTCAGGAGATGCCGCAGCAGACACAAGGAACCAACTCGAACAAGAAGAAAAGGAGGTGAGCTCATCGGAAAATGACAGAACTCAACTGTAGGTTTGTGTTGAGCGAGAGGCACCAAAATCTGACTGACGGGCTCTTAATCCAAACGTAAATCTAACTGAAGTCGTTTATTTGATTCTATCGTATACAGAGAAATAAATCACATGAATAAAAAGTTGAAGCCCTTTTAAAAATCCCAGCCCCGTCCACCTACTTAGAAAGGAGTAGATAGTAGGTCCTACTATCTACTCCTTTCTCTTGACATACTGGTAGAAAAAAAAGACATCTGTAAGTAATGTGGCTTAAAGGCCTACTGTTTATGTTCTCTGGGTTGGCGATTCTGTAAATCCTCCCAGCAAATCAAAACAGATAGCAGGGTTCCTCGCCTCATCTTCATCTTAAGTTCATTTTCTCTGTTTGGTGCACGTGGACAGTGGGCGGCTCTAAGACGAGGGGATTGAAATCACAATTACAGCGAAAAGCACTATATATTTGTTCTATTTTTAAACGTGACTGGAAGAGATTTTCTCCTCTTTTTTCTTTGAGAAGAATGGCCCTTTAGACTGCTGGCCCAGCGGGAGGCAGATTATAAGGCTTTGGGGTAGCCTAAGAGGATTCGAGATCCCACTTGCTTCAACACCTTTACTTGATTTACGTTGGAGGACACAAGACTATTGTTGTACGTTTTGCTCTCAAAAGGGCAGACGTGGATGACAACAAAAGCTGTAGTCCGTCTATACATTATGAGTCTGTGTTCCCATGATCTCCTCAACCCTCCACAACTGAAAGGAATCTCTTTTGCACATGCATGATATTAGATTTTGTCTTTGGCTTGCAGAACCCACGTATCCAAATCTGCATCAGATAATGAAGCACTAGGTGAGTACAACCCCTTTTCTCTACCTTAGGTTCCATCAGCATCCATTTAGATGTGCTTTCCAACATAACTTTGGGGACACTGAGTACCACCGTAAAATAAGCTACAGTTCCGAAGCCTTAGTGTCTTAAATAGGTTAAAACTCTCCCAGCAGCCTGGTAACCTTGGCTGCCTGCAGTTCAATCAAGGCTGATGCGACTCTGCGGCCCCTGCTGACCCTGACTTTTGCCCCAACCTCCACAGATAACCCCGGCCGTAATGCTGCGGCCTGGCAACCGGCCAGGAGTCAGGAAGATTTAGCCCACATCACCAGCAGTCACAATGAAGGTAAAAAGGAAATAAATGGGTTAAGCTCATAGGAGCTATGTGCCCATATTAGTTTGCGGTCTCTGGGTTTGCCCTCTGAGAATTACCAGGGGAAGAAAAAATGTAATGAGATTTGTTTAATCTTTGAGTTCCTTTACTATATAAAAAACCTGAGGGCTTTTAAAATTTACACTGACTCTCTTTGTTTTGGTTTTTATTATAACTTTCCGGTATATCCCCTAACTGGCATAATAAAGACCTTTTCTCTTTGTAGAGGTGCGGAAGACCAGGCACAGGGCAGAAGCAAAAGGAGGGAAAGGAGCCCATCACTCTGGCTCGAAGAAAAAGGAGAAATCATCATCAAACCAGGTAGGTGGACAAGACTGAGTTACTATCGTTTACGCCTGAATCACTCTCATAATCAACAAACAAGCTTTGGATTTTGTATCTGTAACCATGGAAGCGTGTACAATGACGGAACACTAACTGAATGAGTTGGTTAGAAAGCACCAAACAGTGTTTTTCTAAAGTGATTAAACTTTATTATTAGCTGATGGTGACGCAACGGTATTTGGGATTCTATGTCAATCTGAAGCTTTAAGTATACGGCATGCCAGGTCAATTTGCTGTAACGGGAATTTCAAGCTTCCGCATTCTTGTAAACTCTGTGTTGTCCTGAATGGCGCCTTACAGCAAATGCCCTAACCCTAACCCTCTGGTCTTAAACTAAAATGCACAAATAGAGATGCTCCTCTGTCTATAAAGAACACACCTCCAAGGTGAGGAGGATCTGAATGCGTGCGTGTGTTTGGGGTTGTTAGGGTTTAGAGGCCCCATGCCAGCATGATTAATGCTCGCCATAGCGAGAGGCACACAATGCAGAGCCTGCCAGCTCCAGATTAGCAGGGGTTCGCCATGAAGCTGTCTGTTGTGTCTGCAGCGATAGCCGCTCTCTGTAGCCTTTAATTCTCACAGCTGTACTTTGAGCTAAATGCTTAAACTCCTTAATAATCATGATAAATTACCATACACAATATTGCCAAAAGTGTTCGCTGACAGATCAAAATAATTGAAATGAGGAGCTCCAGTCACTTTCTTACTGCTAAATATTGCAGTGGTATTTTAAGAAAAAATATTGTGAACGACAGCAAAGGCTCATAAACTGATGGAGAGGGAACGGTTCAGTCATGTACTGCGCAGAGGTCACCAACGTCCGGCAGAATGAATCGCTACAGACCTCCAAACATACGGCCTTCAGATGAGCTCAGTCACATTAACTAGAGAGCTTAATGGAATGGGTTTCCATGGCGGAGCAACAGCATCCAACATACCCCACTGGACTCGAGAGGTGCAAAGTTTTGTGGAGGGAGATTACGGCAAGGGGGATGTTTTTCCGTGGCTGGGCTTGATCTCTTTCCACTTGTAGGCCTACCTACTCAGCACGGCATGACGAGGCTCTACACGGTGTGTTTGCATTTCCACTTGGGGCTACCCCCACAGAAGAGTTAAAACTCTGGAACCTTCTCTGCCGGGGTTCCATTGGGGCTGAGTTGGGCCTAGGGCAGACTGCCTGGTGCTGATTGACCAGGGAGTCACATGATTGGATAGCGACTCTGTCAGTTTATAGTGTCTGCACTCCTGTTTGTGTCTCGTACGAATTACGTCACGCTTCGGCCGGCCCGTCTTTCCGCTAGGAATTTGTGATGGAAAACCATCTAAACCGCGTAGAGATGTTCTACGCCGAACTGTGCAGGACCGACTAGGCCCGATAGAACACCTTTGGAATGAATTAGGGCAGAGACTGAGAGCCCAGCCTTACCGTCCAACATCAGTGTATGACCTCACAAAGATGCTCTGGTAGAATGGTCAACCATTCCCAAAAAGCACAGTCCAAAACCTTGATGACAGACTTCCTAGCTTCAACCTCCAGAAGAGTTGAGGCCGTTATAGGCGCATATCGAACTCTATGGACTAAGAATGAGATGTCCCTTGAGTTCATATGCGAGTCAATGCGGCAGCGAATACTTATGGCAATATAGCATTGGTCCAGAAGAAGACACAGTAGTTGTGTTCGAAATGTGTATTCATGCTGATATTAACCAACCTATGGATGGAGGGGAGCCGCGACATGAGAGCAACCAAGATGGAAATGTTTCTCTAGAGAGAAAACTGAGCATATGTGATTATTCAAAAATCTGAAAAATTCAAATTGTCTTTGCAGAGCATTCATACCTCTGCTGTCAAAAGAAACCCAAAGACTGGAAAGAAATCTGTTGGAAAGAATGGGAAAGAAGGGTCGAAGAAAAGCCATTCTCCCAGAGGTAAGACCGCTTTCCGCAGCAACGTTGTTGAAGGATGTCAGATTGAACTGAGGCCTGTGACCCATTTCTGATCCGTACCAGTAGTTTTCTGCGTCACTACTGATACGTATTTATAGTTACCGTGGGAGGCATGCTGCCTGTGGTGGACATGAATCCGGGCGTCCTGACTTTTCATGTCTTTCAACATCTTTTACCGTCAGTTTTACAGCGCATGCGCGCAAGGGGCCACATGAAAGCAAATAACGGCCGTTCTAACGAGACCAAAAAGGTGCCATGAAAGAAAAAGAGGCTCAGAAGGGACTGGCAGACATGTCACATTTCCCCCCTTGTCTGTTTTCTATACTGGTTCAAGGTGTGCTATTTGTTTCACAGTATTTCCTTCAAAGCCATTTTCAGGGCATTGTTTCAGTCAAGCCTGACCCCACATTTCGTATTTGTGTATGAAGAACTGCTGTGCAGCCAGGAACCGTCCTGTTGCTTTATCAGTTGCGTTTTTTTTATTGATTCCTCCACCCGAACGCCCCTTTTTGTTGACATTCCACCTCTCTGCTTTCTCTCTTTAAGCGTGCCCTCCACCGGGCACAATGAGCCCACCCTTAGGGCACCACTATTTGGATGTCCCTTACTCATCTAGGTCAGATAAGAGGTTGTACCAAGGCAAATGCTCCACTCTCCCTGCTCAGGAGAATGCGGCCCCGGGCCGCTGTGCCGAAAGGGTCAACTTGCCCGGCGGAGCCACCCCCACTCACCAGCAGCGCTGGAGCAACCCAGGTGAGAGCAGCCCAGCATGGGGGACCGTCCAGCACACCTGCCGCCGTCCGCTCACAGAGTATCGCGTGTACTCCCATGAATTCAGCACGCCGCCTGCAAAGGAGTGGGACGGAAAGCACCGGTCGGAAATGGCCCAGAGCGACGGCCCCACACAAGACCGTAAACCTCAAATTCCCCCAAATGTGCCCCGATCCGCCACCCAAGTGGATCTGTCAGAGCCAAATGTAAGTGTGCGTGCGTGTGTGCGCGCGTTCGTCAGTTTCGGCTCATATTCAAAAGGCAATGACCCCGTGAAGTGAGGAGTTTAGATTACAGCTAACGTTCCGTGATTAAGGATCGCGCGCTGTTAATGCCGGACAACAGTCCAAGGGCTGAGGTCAGCCATCATCTCTCATGTTTGCCCGGATGACACGTGCGGCCTGCGCCATGTGTCGCACAAAGCAGTTGTCAAAGCTTAACATGATAGGAAGAAATCAGTCCAAGATGAAAAGAGTGATCCGGCGCGGAGTTTGCGAAATCCCCACCGAGCTGTAGAGCCATTGGATCTCGCGGATAAAGTGCTCCCGAAGCCGGATTCCTCAGGTGGTTTTGTAGGTTAAGACTCGATCTGATTCGGTCTTTTGGCACCTTTTGTTGCTGGCAGAAATATTCCAGGAGACATCCGAGGTTTTTCTAAAAACCCAATTTTGAATGGTCTTTTTTTGTGGTTTAGTTTGAAAACCGCAGACATTATTACACACAAAGCTTTTTAAAAAAGTGGCAGGTAACTTCCTTTTTTCTTTTTTTCTTTTTTTTTCTTAATTGAGATGAACAAATGACTGCCAAGGGAGACAGGAGCCTCCTAAACCACAGATTAGAAACCTTAATCTGGATTGAGCGGAGTTTATGTCTGATTGGAAACAGCGGGATTAAGCAGCGGTTCTGTCTGTAGAATTCCTTTTGTGCAAGTGACCAAATGAAATCAGTCTCCACGTAAACACAGCAGCAAATCCCCACTTGACAGCATCAGAGCGATTACTGGCGCAACACGAGATCCAATCGAGTGTATAAAAAAAAGAAAGGAAAAGAAAAAAAGATTCCCAAAGAAAAATATCACATGAAAAGATAACAGATGATGCTTTTTGTATTCTATTAACACCCCCCCGATAGGTTACTGTTATGGCCCCCAAAAAAGAAGCTGTTTGCTCTCGATGCTTTCAACAACGTAAAGTGTTACGCACTTTCATATTGACAGCAGAGATCAACCGGAAAGCCTTTCGACACAGCAAAGTTGCCGCTTTCAGCTGTTCCTCTGTCATAAATCATCACTTCCTCAGAAGCACTCACCCCAGATTAAGAAACCAATAATTACTCCGGCATCATTTAGCATCACTGGGTTGCCCATTGTTGATGAAGGGAAATACATTTTAGGGGGGGAGATTGGATGAAATTATGTTACATCTTTCCATGTTTTCCGACTTATTTTCATCCCTGGAAATTAATCAAAAAGCTTGCCCGGCGAGGTTTTTAACGGTTGTATGGAGTAATCGCGTAATAACCCGCCTGACATTTGGTGGCGGTTATGTGACTGGGTTATTCTTAGTGACATTCACAGCCCAGCTCTGAGTAGATCATTTAAAGCAAAGCAACACAGGCCCAGTGACAGATCTGTCATCGTCATCTGGTTATAATCGAAAACAATCAACTCAATTAGAAAACCTAAATGCTATTATTCCTGGAAGTGGCTGTCAGTGTGACTCGCGAGGGCCACAAAGTGCTCACTCAAGCATTTGTATTTTTCCCCTCTCGAAGTGATACTGCAGTGACAGGCACAAAGGCAATTGCCTCACATCCTGTGTTTTGTAAGGAAGTGGGCCAGTCAACCCAAGACAGGCAGACAGTCTTTGTGTTAGTTCACAGTTTAGTGTCAGGGGTTTTGAGGTGAAGAAGAGAACAGAGCAGAGACTGAGATCAGAGCAATTAGAAAAAAAAAAAAGAAAGAGCCAAAAATGTTAAACAGAGCAGCATCCAACGTGTCAGACAAAGTGAAGAGCAACAAACCAAAGGTATGTGAAAACTGGAGGAAAACTGAGCTGTGAGATGTGACAGTTTCATCCTAAATTTTAAAACAATTATTACTTTTTATATATGTATATATAAATACACATATATATGTGTACATATAGATGTCAATGGAAAAAAACAGCATCCTATCTTATTTGTAAAGTATGTTAAATACAAAAAGTACAAACACAGCAGGACAGCATAAACCATTACAAATGCGGACACTACAAACCCACCAAACTGGACTGAACGAGTAAATGTACTGACTTGTGAGTTGAACGCGTCGCCGTTGCATTAATTCAATCTGCAGAGGGCTGTCTAGGAGTAAACAGCTCATATTTAACCAGGATTTCCAGGGATTATTCATTTATATAATTATATTTGCCGCTTTGCTGAGGGGATGATGGGGGGGTTTGAGAGAGATTACGATGACTTTTAGTTTTATGAAAAATCGGTGAGCCAGAGCACCCCTGCTTGCCAGCCGTGTCATGACGGGAGAGTAGCTCCAATATGAGGTTATATATGAGGCTTTTTGTGGCTCTTATTGAAATGTTAACAGGAATCCTTTGACTTCACTGGACAGAAAGTGATGTCATTGCACTTCTGATACTCACAATTTTAGAAAAGACTTAAGAAATCTGAGGCATGGGCATAGAAAAGGTTCAGATCTTTATGATAATCTCTGTCTGTCACAGCGCTCCACGAGCTTTGGAAAGTTCGAGGGCCTTCGACACCACTCATCCCAGGCAAAATCCGAGGAAAATGGAACAACTACGGTGTGTGGATTTAGCCGTTATCTTTATCATTTTCTTTCCCGGTAGCATTTAAAAAGCAGCCAATGCACAGAAATGAATAGCAAATGCTTACAACCCCGCTAATGGGATTGCTTTGGGATGACTTTGCATGCTTAAGGGAGGACGTAAGGGGGGGCCCCCCACTCATGCCAACATGGTCATCACAACATGGTTCTGCAAACTTTCTGTTCTCAGTTAAGGGAGGAGAGTGACAGTCCGGACCCAAACAAATCAGCCGGGCTCGGCAAGAAGATGAAGGAGATTTCGCTGACCATGCGGAGGAAAATGGGCAAAAAGCACGCCAAGTCTTTCACCGAGGAGGCGGTGAGTGGTGAACGTCAGCCGCTCGCTCCACAGTTTACAGAGGGCCAAAAAGCCCCACCACGCCTGCCACTCACGACAGCCTCATTAACCTCCAACTTCTGCTCTTTTCTCAAGAGTCTTATCACATTTCATCTCTTATAAACCCACATCCTCATGCATGACGCTGTTTTTTAATGAGGCTCCGCTCCGAGTGGGGAAAGAAAAAAAAGTAGAAAACTGTCAACTTGCAATTGCTTTGTTTTGCCGAAACACAGATGGGTAGCTGAGATTAGATATTTCAGACTCACTGGGGATTTTTTTTTCTTCTGCTCTCGGGTTCAGTCGTCTTTTAGGCCTGCTTACCTGCAGCTCCCTTTCTGCTTCTCATCTCTGACTTCGCTGTTGCAGGGCGACGAGACGGACAAAGACCCCGAGGCCGAGACGGACGGTGCTCCGCCGGCCGGGAAAAACCCCTCAAAGACCAGCAACTCCCTGGAGAGCCTCTGCAGCGGCCAGAGCTCCTCCAGTGAGTATCCGCACAGAGAACCGAATGCAACTGGGCGGCCTGAGCCGCGTGACCTAACGGTGCCCGCTGCCCTTCCCGATTCAGGTGGAGTGACCAGTGAGTCCAACGACTCTGGGAAGAGGGACAGTCTGAGGCTGGAGGAGGATGGCTCCTACCAGGGCCAGTTCTGCGGCAGGGCTCGGGTCCACACGGACTTTGTTCCCAGTCCGTACGACACAGACTCCCTCAAGCTGAAGGTAAGACAACTGGAGAAGAAGCAGGACTGATTGTGCGAAGGCAGGTTTAGAAACTCAACCCCCGCGCGGGCTTTTTCTTGCAGGTGGGGGACATAATCAACATCATCAGTAAGCCTCCCATGGGCATCTGGACCGGGATGCTCCACAACAAGGTGGGCAACTTCAAGTTCATCTACGTGGACGTTTTGGTGGAGAAAGAGGAGGCGGAGGAAGAGGAGGCCCCCAAGATCAGACCGCAGAAGCTGTGCAAAAGACCCCGACCCAAAACTCTGCTGGAGTTACTGGAGCGCTTGAATCTGGAGGTGAGGACGGGATCCAGATCTGAAAGTGGGCCGTTATCGAAATCTTTCAGACCAGCTCTCGGGTTTTGGATATACCCGATGTCTCCCGTCTTTTGATTTTGAAGACGAACGGAGAGAAGAGTAGAAATAAATGGATGCATGACTTTGTTTCAGGAGTATGCCTCCGCCCTGCTGCTGAACGGCTACCAGACGGTGGAGGACCTGCTGCATCTGCAGGAGAAGCACCTGATAGAGCTGAACGTCAAAGACCCCGAACACAGACGCAAGCTACTCGCTGCAGCTGATTTCCGCTACACAGAAGGTCAGGACCCGTCCATCCAAAGTAAACAACAGGGCCAAACTTTTAGAATCTTACCCTGCTGGTCATTAGGTAGAATGCAGGCTTGAGGAGCTATTGGAAATAGTTTGATTATGTAAACATCAAAACTCCTTGGCTTGAATGTGTGGGTTAGAGTTAAGGCTAAGTTTGATTTTGTCTCCATGATGCCCCGTGTTGTACCCTGCCCCCCCCCCCCCATTGGCTTCCGGGTTAGTCTTCAGCCCTCTCGGCGACCCTGAACTAAAAGCAGATGCGGACAAATGGATTAACAAACAGAGAAATAACCCAAGGACTGATATTCATACTGGTTCAATTTTATGATAATTTTGCCTTTCACTATTAGTCAATTCAGTCCCATGGGAGGCTGAAAAAAAACTAACAAACAAAAAAACATTGTTTAAAAAGAAGGTAGTAGCTGAGACTTAGACGCCACTCTGCATCCTGTGAGAGGCTTATCAGTGATTTCCTGTTACTCAGATAGAGAGTTCTTAACAGACCAGAAGGTGTTCCTGTAATCTGGCGTCTTTAACCAGAAGGCCGATTATGGCACAGTCCGCATGAAAACAAAACTAAAGGGAGAGACATTAGGCCCCAGTTTCAATGTAGCTAGGGTAAATAATGGTCACTGCCATTTAAGAGTGGCAGGTTTCTCTGTTTGGGTGAGAGCAAAAGCCAAACAGATGGTAGAGGCCACAGCTAGCTGACACACACAAGAGGGCAGTAATTTAATCAAGCTGCACTCCATTAGCTTAGTGCATTGGTTCAGAGGATTAGTTGCGTCGCACAAAAGAAATTAATAATGTGACTGTTTGCAGCAGAAAATAAACATGTCTGGGGAAAAAAGGGGGACTTGCTCCTCTTGAACATGTATATGGGTCATTTGCTTTAAAAAAGAGCTTACTTTGTAAATATTGCAGCATTTGGCTTGATTCGATTCCTTTTTTTCAGCTTCAGGTGATGACGTGAGGGACACAGAGGAGCACAAGCCCACTCAAAGCCCACAGGAAGAAGACAGCGACTGTCCCAGAGATTCAGGCTGCTTCATCCCATCCGAGTGCTCGGACAGCAAGGAAGAAACAGAGCAGGCCACAGAAGCGGTGGACTCCTGAAGCTGTTGTTTGTCAGGCCGATACGTTGACATTTGGAATTCAAAGTGGCGTCTTTTCCCTTTTACTCTGGTGAATTTTCTTTTTTGTCTGTTGTTTGGAATGTTTCGTGTGCACCTCTAGTTCGACCCACAGGTTCCTCAATGCACAAGCTTTTTAAGAGTGTAAAGGTTTGTAAAGCAAGATCAGGCTCCTTATATTCTAAATGTCATACATATCCTTGTATCAAGTTACTATGTTCTGATCCTGAGAGGGTATTTTAGTTTGGGTTTCTGGAGGGGGAAAGTTTATTGACTCGAGACTCAGTTGTATTTATTACATTTGAAATCCTTTCATGTTTTCACAAACTGTTCAGCCATTATTTATCACCACTGCGTCTTTTTGGTACATTACCCATCACGGTTCAGCTTCAACATTTCATTTTTTGATGAAGGGATGTTTTGGCGTGCTACTCTCTCTGGATTGTGCCCTACATCATATACTGGACAAATTAACAAGTGTAATATTTTCTGAACATAAGCTTTATTACTGTGTGTGTGTGTGTGTGTGTCTATGTAAGCCCATTGCTACTGTAAAAGCCCATGGTGATCTGTTTTCACCACTTTTTGTATATAAAATTAATAAAACACTGTCAAATATATTTACATTGGATCAATCATGCTATTTCAACTGTCACCACATTTCTTGATATTACAAAATCTGTCTAAATATTCAGATATTTAATGACGGATTGATTACCAATAACGGGTTATTAAAAAATATTGAACATTTCAGAGCATCTATATGTTATTGAATTAATCAGTAGACACTTCCATTTACATGTGTTGTATAAATGAAGGTTCTATGCTATTGCTACCTTTGAATGCAACTGATGGAGTTATACCTACATGGTAAATCCTTTTTTTTCTTCACATCAACATCTAAATGAAAGTATTTCACGTTGTTTCTTCTATGTAAATAACTACATAATTAATTATAAGAGTTTTTTGTTATTGGCGACACTACAGACTTGCATCATTTTCCACATTCCATGCATCGAAAGTTTGAACTTCCGAAATTGTATTTTTGTTAACCGAGTTACAATGAATGTTACATGACAGCGCTGCTGCGTTTTCCTGTAGGCAATTGGTAGAAAATAAGGTGACGTCACAACGTTTTATTTTCCTTTACCGGACGCTGGCGCTGATGGGATACGTAGTCGAAAATATACATAGCCCAGCATGCTTTGAAGATAGATACAGTATATAAACTACATTACCCAGAATTCTGTTGGTCACGTTATGTTGACGTGTATTTTGTTGGCAGACAGAGAAATTTCTCATTCGGGTCACTCAATAGTCAAACCCGTACATTGCTTCACCGTAAATTGTACAATTTCACCGACATTTTGTAACTTTTAAGCGGCGGGTGACTTCGCAACACTGTGCCACCATGGCCGGAGAGATGTCCATGATAGGTAAGTTGAAAGCTTACAATTAATTTGGATTCTAACTAGAGAGTTAGCCGGTTTGGTCCATATGTTATACGCATGTCGTTTCGTTTCCGCAGGTTCGGTCATTCTGGCTCTGTTTCTTGCCGGTTATCTGGGCCAACAGTACTTGCCACCCCCTAAACCCAAAGTCATTGGCTTGGATTTGGGTACCACGTTTTGCTCCGTCGGTGTCTTCCATCCGGGCAGCGGAGAGGTGGAGGTGATCGCGGATGAGGAGGGAAGGAAGAGCATCCCTAGCGCCGTCTCTTTTACCACCACTGCAGTTCTGGCCGGACACGACGCCGTGGATCTGGCCGACAGTAACCCTCAAAACACCATCTACGACGCCAAGAGGTTCATAGGGAAGATATTTGAGCCAGAGGTCTTGGAGCAGGAGAGCGTTAGATACCCGTTTAAGGTGGGCTACACTTGGGGTTGTGGCTTTTGGGGACACTATTGAAGCAAAAATCTAATTAGTAATTTCTACATATTTATTCAAACATTTTTTTTACTTTAAATAAATTATAATGTCGATTTATTTTTGTCTTTTGTACCCATAAGTCTAAGCTGTTGGCTACCTTTTCCTTCTAAGACTCTGGGGAAATACTCTTTGAGTATTTAGTCCAGGTGATGGATCTTCTTCCTCTACTCCATCCTTTAGGTTTTGAACAACAATGGAAGCGCAGAGTTTGTGATTTCAACCAACCATACCTTCACCGTAAGCCCGGAGTTCATCGGCTCCAGACTGCTGCTGAGGATGAGGAAGATGGCCGAGGGTCAGCTGGGGGTTCCCATCCAGAAGGCCGTCATCTCCGTGCCCGCAGAGTTCGACGAGAGACAGCGGAACTACACAGTCAGAGCTGCTCAGCTGGCAGGTGGGGGAAAATATGGCGCTCTCCGAATAAGGGGCTCTTAATTAATTTAATTTGTCTTTTTTTTTTCTTGTAGACTTTGTTCTACTTGTGCTAGAGAACGTTGCTGTCTTTATAAAGCTAAACCTTAAGCTCGAGCAAAAGGCTATTCAAATTTTAAATACGTCGTCCCCCGTTATTAGCTTTTAGCGTTAGCTAAACATTAAGCTAAATATCTGCTATTAACCACGAGTATACTATGGCACAGGCTGTTCTAAAGTACTTAGTCAAACCCACCCTGCTTTAAACAAACACTTTAGACGCAACATTACTGATAATGGGCTTGTACTGTAGGTCTGGAGGTCCTGCGCGTCATCAACGAGCCCACCGCGGCCGCCATGGCCTACGGCCTGCACAAGGTGGACGTGTTTAACGTGCTGGTGGTGGACCTCGGCGGAGGGACTCTGGACGTGTCTCTGCTCAACAAACAGGGAGGCATGTTTCTCACCAGGGCAATGGCAGGTAAAGTGTTCCTCAGATAATGAAACTAATGGTTGACCAAAAAAAATAGAAGTGAAATATTGTGGGGAGTAATGAGTAATGCACCATGCTAAGTTTAGTCTTTGTTTCTTTTTTTGTTGTCGTTTTATAAAAAAAAAAAAAGGAAACAACAAGCTGGGAGGGCAAGACTTCAGCCAAAGGCTGCTACAGTTCACCGCGGAGCAAGTGCGGCAGCAGTTTGGTGTAGCACCCACCGTAAAGGAGGACATTCACCGCCTCCGGCTGGCAGTGGAAGCTGCCAAGCTCAACCTCACCCTCCACCCCTCGGCCACCATCAGGGTGCCACTGCACCTGCACGCCGCCGGAGACGGCGCCGAGCCCCCCGCGGCCTCCCCGGTCCTCTTCCAGGCCACAGTCACCCGCCAACTGTTCGAGGAGCTCAACGAGGACCTCTTCCAGAAGATCCTGGTCCCCGTCAAAACCGTGTTAGCGGAAGGCCACCTGGAGAAAGAGGAGGTGGACGAAATCGTGCTGGTCGGAGGGTCCACCCGGATACCGCGGATCAGGAGGCTCATCAGCGAGTTCTTCGGGAAGGAGCCCAACACGTCGGTGGACCCCGACCTGGCGGTGGTCACGGGCGTGGCCATTCAGGCCGGCATCATGGGCGGCTCGTGGCCGCTGCAAGTGAGCGCCATAGAAATCCCCAACAGACACCTGCGCAAGACGAACTTCAGCTAGTCCCCAATCTGGACGTAAATGGGCGTAATTCTGCTCATTCCCGACTGCGTCTCACCGTCATTATGCAATTAAGGCAGCGCCCTCCGACAGGGGAGAGGCACACGGCGCAGAGCACAGCCATCTAAATGTTTACATCTCACCTTTCTGTGCTTCCTCTTCGGCTGTGAAAGGTTGCCGTAACTGAAGGAAGAAAAAACAAACAAACTTACCTGTGTGATGAAATGACCGTGACATCAGCACAACTTCTGCTCTACATTTCGAATGTTCCGGCAGAATAATCCCCAATAGCATCTCATGTGGGCCAGACCTGCAGACGCCCAATTCAGGGAATAGCCTTTCTAGTTTGTTTCGAGACTGGCCAGTACGTGTTTAGCTATTTATTTATTTATAATGGTGTGGTCGAATGTGGTCCCATGCTGTGTGCCCGTGCCTTTTCAGAAAATATACGTCACAGGCCCTTATCCATCTTCTGCATCATCAGTGAAAATGCAGACTGGATTATTTGCCTCAGATATACTCACTGTTGCACTTTGACGACCTCTGCTCGTGGGCCAGCCTTTTTTTTTTGCCGTTTCTTTCTTGTGCAATATTCGGTCTGTATTCAAATGGCAATGACTTGTAGGGCCAGAGTCCTACAAAAGGACCAAAGTGTTTCTAATCAGTGCCTTGTTTGTTGAACAAATGTTACTGTCACGTCTGTGTCTTCTTTTCTTTTACTTTCTTTAAGGCGCCTGCTGTCGGCGTTGCGGTTGTTGCTCTCCCTATGTATCCCACCGTTTTGTTTCCCCAGAAAATTTAAGACTTCTGCCTCTGCCAGTCTCAGCCAAGAGCTCAAATGGCATCACATTCCCTTTTCATTTTTGCCAAACAGTTTCTTAACTGCCACTGTTAGATGTGCCGCAGAGCCTCCTGGAAAGATACTGTAACTAAAGGTTCGGATCCCTTGGAGCCATTCCACATTGTAAGACTGAAATTATGTGCTTTTCAGCCAATTAAATTCCATCAATCAACTTCTCCGATGTTGATTTATTAATTCATCTTTTGCTTTACGGGTCGAGCTGCAAGAGCTGCCCGTTGTGGCCCCCAGATTGCTGCTCAAAGTGCTTCCCGTGGCATCCCTGGTTGTGTTAAAGATCTTCGAAAATGCTGTCAAAGCCTTTGGGATCATGCAAAGCTTCCGTTTCTCTTGTATGAGTCAAAATGGAAAAAAAAGCCTTTAGATGACTTAACCCAAACGGCAAAAGAACTGGTGACTGAAAACCTCCTCTGTAGAAGATTTAATGTTGACATGTGAGGCACAGTAACACCCAAACAGGTGAACGCAAAAGGCAGTCAGTGTTGACATGTGCCGCCTGTTGATCAACCTGTAGCATCCCTTCTATTAGCTTTATTTTCCACACTTCATTTACTCCAGCAAATATATATATATATGTACATGATGTCTGCCGAATGGCTAAAAAGCACAGATCCTACAGCCTCTGAAGGCCCCACTATTGCTACAGTAACGACTGAGCCATCACGTTCTATTGTCATCGTTGGCTCGAGCGTCTCGCACATTAATTCACCTTTTATGTAAGACGACATACTCGCTATAGCACTGCATGCAAGGTAGAAATACATACCCAGCCGGGATTGCACACAATACACAGAAACAAAAACATCTTAAAACGAAAATGGGAAACGCATCAAAAACACATTCACCGTTTACAACACAAAAATGTGTGGTCCTCCAAACTATCGTCACCGGTTTGACCGTGAGCACAGCTCACGCAGAGTCCAGTGGGTCCAGGCAGACACATGCACCGATCGCAAGTACAAAAAGAAACAAACACCTCGCATACGCCATGTAGAGATCTCACTGGGTTGTCTGTAAACAGTTTTTCTCTGAATATAAACATTTTAATGTCCTCATGCTGCGGTAAAACCTGCTAAAAAGCCTTAAAACAATCATTTAAAAAAACAACTTCGAAGAGAGGAAGGTCATTTAAGGACAATAATAAATTACTTCTGGAGTTTCACTTAAAATAAAGAATCCACTGACTCAGAAGGGCCTCTCGCACATCTGGATGAAATGGGAGTAACAGAATTTCATCTCTAAGAAGTGCTCGTAGTCCTGAGTGATATATTAAATCTTTGAGGGGGAGAAACCTAAACAGAACTCGTATTTACAGAATGTGCACAAAGTCTCTGGGTGTTTCCACAGAAACAGTAGTCTGGCAGGTCATCAGCAGGCTGGGAGGGGGGGGGGACCTGACCCTGATAAACGGGAATGATGTGGAGATTCCAGTGGGCCGCCGCAGACTCACTCAGGAAGAATTTAAAAAAAAAAGTCACTGGTTGATGCCCTGGTTTGTGTAGTAGTCGTAGCCATTGTCCCCATACAGCTCGTCAGCGCTGCCAACTCCATTTCTCACCTCTAGAGGGCGACAAAAGATTAAAAAAAGGAAATCAGCAGGGGCAAATTTACAGTTTTCAACCTCATCACTTTTGTCTAAAAAAAAAAAAAAGAAAGAAAAGAAAAACATAAAAAAAACAACTTTTGAACTCTTTTTTTTTTTTTTTTTCAAAGTAACCATGAACTTACCTTTAATCCCAGCACAACAAACTCTCAACACACTGAGGCATCTACAAGCTCCCCCATACAGGATCGTCACCTCTGGAGGAATTGTAGGGGTGTGAGGATGGGTGTGTGGGAGGATTGGATGGATGGATGGATGGATGGATGAGGAAGAAAATGATAAAGAGGGCAGAGAGGTGGAAGGGCAGTGGATTAAAGGAAGGGGTCACTGCCTGGGAGGAAGACGGAGGTGGTAGGATGGTCAGGAGGTGGTGCACATCACACAAAGGGTGGATGAGGGAGGCGGTTACCGGGGTTGACCTTTGACATGGAAGACAGGAAGAGGAGGAGCACACGTTCATACGCTCAGTAGCATGCCGGGGTGAGGCTGCATGCTTTTGGGGTAACGAGAGATTTAAAAGGGTTTTAAAAGTGTGAGAGTAGGCCAAGGCTCCGAAATAAACAGCAAACAAAAAAAAAAAAGGCTGTTGGACACAGGTCTTACCTGAGAAGATGAGTTTCTCCTTCATGACGTTGATGTCTCGACTGGACGTCCTGACCGCAGCGCTCAGCATGATCTGCTCGGGGTTATAGCTGTGCATGCCACTCATCCGATACCTGCGGGGGCCACAGGTTGGGTAAGAAATCATCGTCGGACATTGGGATTGAACTAAAAATGCAGCTTCTGCTGCTTTTAGGATGCACGTCGGGGGCCTGCCTTGACTTGTAAAGATTATCTTTTAAGAGTTTGGGCTCAGGGACCGCTCAGTCATTCAGGAAAGTTAAATTACTCTATTTCTTGTGTATTTCTTGTGTTTTAGTCTCATTTTACTTCTTTAAAATGTATTTCTCTCTCCAAAACTCTCTATACCAGAGGAAAAACAACCTACATGATTAGCACTGTTTGCTTGGACACTTTTGGATGAGCTCTGGTGTTTCCTATACGATAACCAGATAACTAGAGACAAACTTCTTATTTCGTATAACTTAGGTTAAGTGCTCTAAAACACAGCTGCTTGCAACTTTAACTTTTTTTTTAAAGTCCAAAGTCTGCTAACCACGTTAAGCTGCGTAAGGTAAATTGACAAGCTGATAATCACAAGATGACATCCCCGGTTTAGTTGTCTTAAGAGTCTTAAAGTAGGAAGAAAAAGTCAGTGTGACACTCAGGATTTCATCCTAGTAGCCAGAAAGAATAGGATCCTTATTCAAAAGTAACAAAACACATTGAACATCCTTACCCATCACACTTTCCTACCACATAATGTGGAAAAAACATTAATAGGCTGTATTGATTTAGAAAAAAGGCATTAAAACAAACCACTGTTTGAAAAACTGAGTTACTATCTAACATCATAAGGAAGATCTAACCATGCAACTGATGCCTTTCTACTAATTTGCCAATCATTATTTATTCAAGGGAAAAGAACGTGTGTTGATGTTTAAGAGGTTGTGCTTGATATAATAAGGCAGAGTGCTTCATGAAATGCTGCCTATTTACAGAACTAGAGCTTGATCAAATATTAATCATGTTTACCACTTAACGCTATAATAATGTTTAATAAAAAAAAAGAGCTCTAAGAGGTGAAATAAATGGAAAGTCGATTTCAAATGCACTTAAGAATAGTCTCTGTAGTACAACGTAGATTTCATTTCCTGTTTTGGGAAGCAGTGTTTTGGCTTTATGAAAACAGCTTTCACATCAGATAAATTAACTTAAGAACATTGTTCCCAGTGAATTGTGACTAATACACAAAGGCGGTTAGACTGAGAAATTAAATGGATTTAGTTAATTAGCATAAATAAATCCTGAGGTAACGCTGTTCTCCGGTGAAAACAGACCCATCACTCATTGTGATCAATAGGATGGCTGGGAAATTTTAAATTTTGTTGGGTATGTTTTAATCATGAAGTTTTCTAAGTTTTATTTCTCCAGGGTTAAAAGCAAGAAGGCGCCAGCGTGATATGTCGATTCAGGTGAGACACAGAAGTGAGAAAAAAAAATCTACCAAGATGATGGAAAAACTTAAGGAGGAAAACATCTTAATGAGATGGATCCTGTGTTAATGATAGGGGAATATTAAGAGAAAGAACCAAAATTGGGGAGGGAATGCCAGAAAAGAAAAAAAGATCGGTTAAGATAAACAGACGAAAGGTGAAAGGAGAGGAGACTTTGGGTCAAAAAGAGGTGACCGAGTTACCTGATTATGTGATAGCTGAGAGAAGATGCCAGAATGCAGCAGAGGAGGAGAAGAGCATGCACACCAGGCAGAGGAGAGAGGACGAGGGAGGAGCAGAAAGACAAAAAAAGGACAAAAGAAAGCGGGAGAAAAAAGGTCAGTTTAGAAGCCAGCAGAAGCCACCGAAGAGATCAGCCAAGCACAGCACACTTGATACTGGACTGTTAAAAAGAGAGGAGGGGGGGAAAGGCGTTATTCGTCTCTGGAGTCATCACCGAAACAAACAAAACCACTCTTCAAGAGAGAAACAGACACCGAAGGAGAGTGGGGAAGCGTGCGTCTTCTTTCTAAAGCTATGGTGTAACAAAACAGGGAGAAGAACAGAGGACAGTACAAACTCTCCCAAAACAGCACTCGAATAAAAAAAACAAAACAATAACTACAAAAACGTGTCAACAGCACTGATGTGCACGACCTGACAAACTCAAGACAGTCTGCTTAGAACTCAGATTCCACTAGGGAACAGCATAAAAACCTGTGGCAGAAGTAAAGACGTCATGTTTGGGTGGGAGAAACATTAACCAACATGGGCATTTACACTCACTAATGATTAGACCTTCTCCTAAATCATTAAGCATCTGTACTTACTTCAGGAAGACGAATATTCCTACGACCACAGCAAAAGAGAGAAGGTCTGCAGACACCCAGATTAGGCAGTACACTTTTGGCCTCTGAAAGCACACGCACAAACACACACAGACACACACACATTTAACCACTAGATGGAGCCGTAACATCAACAACAAATCACTTGCATAGACCGTCCAAGTGGTTTAAAAATATTACTCAAATGTTTTTATTATTATTAATCCCCTATAGATCAATGAAGCCTTTATTAAAAAAAGGTAGAAGGATTTTAACTGTACATTTTGCCTATGAAATCCTGGCTTGGCTTTTCAATAACATGCATTAACAGATTTGACACGGTGACACAGTTCAAATGAACAGACGAGCTGCAGATGCCATGGCCGCCTAAACTCCAACTGAACTATACAGCAGGAGGGCCGGGGGCCGTGCCCACAAGTCGTCCTGCGGAGGACCCGTATGGTGGGACAGAAGGGGAGGCCGGTTTGGAAAGCTGCACTTGTGAAGTGGGTGGATTAAGGAAAAAAAAAAAGAAAAGAAAAGAAAAACATGTCAGAGAGGCTCAGCGTGGGTGCTACATGCGTCGAGTTTTTTCATGAGAAGCCTGGTCCAGAGAGCCTCAAATCACGAACCTCGGGATGCGCTAACCTGACGGTGAGCCCCCCCCCCCCTGCTGTGCTGGGCCTCAGAGACTGGTGTGGAAATAGACCAAGAATCACGCTCCGTGCAGGGGGTCAATAATGATTTCCGCTATTTCACCTATGATGCTGCATGGGGATTTACAACACAACCTTTTCTAGAAAGTTTTGAATACTTCGGAAAGTGCAAATAAAAAAATGTTTCTTGTGCCTAAAATCCACAACACAGCGGCATAAATAATAAGCATTTTTTTATTTATTTTTTTTTTTAAAGAAAAAAGTTTTGGCCTGTAGTGAGTAAATTAACACAGAGGACCGACACACTTCCAGAGGGACAGTTGTCCTGAGGAGCTGTAAACAGGGCTTTAGAGTCATCTGAAGCTCAACACAGGTGCTTTCGAGGCATTCTGTATAACCGAGAATAGATGTTTGTTTTTGTTTACCAAATAAGGAGAAGTGAAACAGTTTCCCTCATCCCAGGTGATTGCTGTCTTAAAAAAAAAAAAGCCATCCCACTAGCAGAAGACCTGACCTCATGCCTGATTCTTACCATGATCCAGATGGGATGAGACAGCTTTGTGAGGATGTGCGGCGCCTCTGAGGAGACGGCGGACACGCCGCTGCACCAGAGCACAGAGTACAGCCACGGTTCGTTGACGGTGTAGAGAGTGACGTTGATCTGAGCTTTGGTGAGGTTTCTGAAAAACAGAAGCCGGGGTTCAGGCCCCTCACTGAACAGAAACCCAGACGATGGCGTCTTCGGATCCCCGCGTCGGACCCTACCTGATTTCACTGGTGCTGGTTTGACTGTATCTGAGCAGCAGCCTGCTGATGTCCGACTGGTGCAGAGCTTGAGGACTGCGTTTCCTCATGGAGGTCTGGATGAGAGCGGGCGCCGCCTGTCTCACCTGAGCCCGGTACTCGTCGGGAGTCCACATCACCTAGACAGAGCAGAGATGTTAAACACCCGAAGCAGTTTTTTTTGTTTCCGCGTGCCCGTGTTAAAGCGTGTATGAAACATGTACATCTCGCAGTAGGGGAGGCTCCACGGCCCAGGCTGTGACCATGGGAGCATTTCACCGATTTAATTACCAGGCTTTGAGGAACTCCAGATTGCTGCACTGCTTGCAACGTATCATTGATCCAGCTGTGGTGGCAGGGGTGCTGCGGGGGGGGCCTCTGCAGCCGGAACACCACAGTGATGTTGTGATAGGAGGCCAGCTTTAGAAGCTGCTCCAGGCTGCACACACTCTGGTTGCCGATCAGTTTCTTCTCCTGCGGCAAGAGAGTGTTCACTGTCCAGAACGGGTCATCCTGAACCAGAAGGAGCGGAAAGGAGGTCAGGGAACAAATCGAACGGGGCATTACATAACCATTTGTTCAGGCTCAATTTAACTGGCCCTCACACCGCAATAACTCAGAGCTGTTAACTTCTATAGAAATAAGAATGAATCCAAGCCTTTGGCAGTGCAGAAGCCTAGGCCTACATGAAAAATAAATAGTATTCTCCTTCATTTCTTTTGCATTTCTCCCTGCCTCAGTGCTCCAGCTCCCCTTGGAGATCAACATCAGATGTGTTTATTCATGCCTTCACAAACACCTCACTTGCCATTCTATGCAGTGATGACATAATACAAGCTTGATAAATAAAATAAAAAACATACACATATACTGAAGTTTAATATTGTTCTCTTTGGCTCACACAGTGTAAATAGTCAGAGAAGGTGAAAAGTCATGAAGATTTTGCACATCATTGTTATGTGAAATCTCATCTTCATCATCAATGTGACAACATTTCTTAAAAAGGGAACAAAGCACCATCATTGCGCGCATTTAAAAATCAACAGGGAAAGACTGAGGAGAAATAAACTCCAAAATTCATACTGACAATAAAAAGATTCATAGTGCTGAAAAATTATATTTAAACACTGCAAAAAAGCTTAAAAAATTCATCCCATCTATTTACCACAAAGTAATACACAGAGCCACAAAAATACATCTGCTTGTTCTGCACCAGGGCATCTATATTTATATTACATGTTTTTTTATTTTTGTCATTTTCCAAGCTTTAATTAACAGGTAGAACCAAACTCTTTCTCTCATTTTTGGAATGAATGATTTAATGGATCTTCGTACTTCCATGACACCCAAACACACCACCACGGATCAATGAGTGAGGACACAATGTGCTCTTGACATAGTGTGCTAATGGCTTTTAACTCTCATAACGGCATCGCGTCACAAGGTCAGTTAAGGCTTTAAAAAAAGAAAAAAGAAAAAAAAAGCTTTGACACTTTTTTTTTTTTAGATTTACTTCGTATTAGTATCCTGGAACTACCTTGAGGAACCACTGTCCTGCGTTGAGCTGCTGCAGATCTGTCCAGTTGAAGGAGGAGGCTTCGTCCATCCGTCTGTCTGGGAAAACTTTGTCCACGTCGGTGGTCCTCCGCAGGGTACGATCGCGCATCAGAAAAGGCACGCCGTCAACACTGGTGATCAGGAAGAGTGAGGGCAGCAAACACCCGATTATACTCCAAAATGTTCTTTTTTTTTTTGTTTCCCCGTTATTTGTCACACTTCCTCATTTAAAAAATAACAATATACTTTATATAGCTAAGCGTCTGCTTGAGCTCCGAACGACAAGAACAACACCAGAAATCATTTTACTTGGAAGAAGCGCATACAAACCCAGATGATGAGCAGATGAGACAGAACTGAAATCCTATCAAATACAAACCCGACTTTCTCAGAAGAGTTCCCAGTGGCATGATTTACAGCAGAATAGTCCCTCTGTACCATAGTATTTGTAAGTAGATTGGGAGAAGATCACATTTTAAACTAAATAAGTTAATTTCTACTAAAATCTGAAATGGGAGGAAAACACTAACTTGAGCAAACCTGAGGTAAGTTCCTTATGGGATGTAAATGATCTGCATTTTTGTGTGCGTGTGAAAATACAGTGATTTGTAAAACCCATTTTCACTTTCAATATTGTACCAGGTCTTAAAATGAAGTCCTTTGTTGATGAACAGGAAAACAGAGCGTAATTGCTCCCTGTCAACATTCCCTTGATTAAAAAGTATTTTGCTTCGACTTAATAATATCTATTTTCAAAAAATGATTTTCAGCTATTGTCCAACAAAAAGCAACAACTGGGAGACACCATGATGTAGGGTTGTCCAATTTGGATTATTTGCTCCCCTAAAAAACAGTCAAAATAAAAAAATATAGGCCCCAACCTCACTGTACACAGTACCTTCCATAAACTGAGGCTACTTTGTCTGTTTAAATGGTGGCACAAAATTCTGCCACAACAATGCCAGAGACTAAAAACATCACACATAACATAATTAATCAATTTTTCTAGTGCCAAAGGCGGTTGATGGTGGTGGTTATGTTTACACACACTGTGCACTGTGTAATCTGTCATGTGTTGTCTTATTTTGTGATTATGATAATGTCCTGATATAAAATGACCTTAGAACTGACACAAGTGTGTGTGTGTGTGTGTGTCTCTAGTGTCCTGCGGAAGTGCAGACTGTCGCTTCGGCCACCATCAAATCTAATTACTCAGGGCTGTCTGGAGACTCACCTGTCAGCGCCCTGCTCCAAACACACTCCTATCCAATTCTCATGAGCGCACAGTGCTCGCGTGTGCTCCTGTGTGTTTGCTAAAATGCAGCTCCAGAACACGAGCACAAACCCTGCAACAGTCAGCGACACTCCCCACCTCCACACCATCATTCATCCTCCAACTCCGCACAGCCAGTAATCATCACGGGCACTTAAAGTATCCTCCCACCGCTGATCCTTCCCTTCCTCCAAAAGTATCTCTATCCAATCTAAGCTCTGGTTAGAAGTGTGTTTAAGACTTGAATTGTGGTCTGCAAATGTATGCAAATGTGTATGAATATAAGTTTATTAAAATAATATTAAGGTTGCATTGTATGACAGCCAGCATTATGCAGAGGCAACACAGGCCTGGACTCTCTGATTAGGACACAATGTCCTGTTTTTCTTTCATCTCTAGGTTTTTCATTATTTAATAAGCAGGGAGAGACAGAATCTAAATAGACGCTGGCTTGTTTTGCTACACCGTCCAGCTTTATCGAATGCGTGCGTTTGCACGTGAGAGCTTGCGTGTGTGTGTGTGTGTGTGATTGTGTGTGTGTGTGTGTGTGTGTGTGTGTGTGTGTGTACCTAATAGCTACGTCAGCCTCCAGTCCAGTGATGTTCATTTGCAAAGCTCGCTGAAAAGACCACAGCGTGTTCTCTGGAGCGAGCTGCGAGCACACAGAAGACAAATATATAGCGATAAGAAGCAGCACAACACAGACGTCTGCACAAGGAAAGTTTTTTTTCAGCAGGATCGATAGCTAGTGATAAAAAAAAGAAGGAAGAGGAAAGTCTATCAAATTGAACTCAAAGTATGATATCATATATGTGGAAATAAGCGATTCCTCATTGTGATAAGACAGGCCTGCCCTGCTTTTTAACTCAGGCCACTGTTGCGATCAATACTGAATCATCACTTACTAGAATGGTATCTTCCTTTGAGGCCTTCCTATGAATACAGCTACGCACAGGATAGGAATGCCGTTCTAATCAATACAAAGTGATTCTGGGAAAGCGAGTCCGATGATGTGATCCCCCCCCCACTCACAGTATGCAGAGCCACTCCTATTTTTAGATCCAACTGAAGGGATCGATCTTTTTGCAGATACAACAGATAGCTGGGCGTGTGACCGTTTGGAATAACCAAACTTAGTTCTGTGCAACGGGATACAGATCCATGTTGTGTAAATAGGGGGGGAAAAAATGGGGAAAAAAGCTGTTTCATGGAGATTAAATATCTTAATGAAACCTTTCCATGAATATTTAACTGAGGTTTCAGATGGCTGTTGTGGGCGTTCTAAATCTGGTCAGATGGAATCTACAGTCAGCGGTGCCCCAAACAGACGCTACAGTGCAAAGTTAAATGAGGAGTATTCCTTCCATACCCACTTAGCACGGTGGGAGGCTTATGAAGAAGCTGATGACTAAGAGTGTACAACTGTGTAAAACGGGCTCCTTGTGCGTTCCTTCTGCAGTAGTTGGAGGTAAACTGACTCACCATGGGAGCTCCCTGGTGGCCAATAACATCGGGGCGTGATTTGAGCGAGCTGGGCTCCATGATGCAGGGGGAAGTGATGTACACGGGCACCACGTAGAGGCCAAGCAACACGCTGAGGTACAGCAGCAGAACCACCACCTGGAACACTGACAGACGGAACATGGCATGGTCAAAACTTGTATTAGTGATAACCGATCGGAGAACTTGAAATGTTATTATACGTTTCAAATTTAAATAAAAAATACTGTCAATACTAATTAACTTGGTGATTGTGGCTCATTTGTGTCATCAGTACAGATGTGTGCACAAAGAAAGTTTGAAAAAATTTAGGAGGAGGTGTTTGTAATTGTTGTGAATTATACGGCAGCTAAACGCAGTGTAGCTGTCCCTTTGGATCAGCGCTGCCATTAGAGGCCAAGGAGATAACACTTTGAATCCGCCTCAAAATGAGCGAGCGGCGATGGCTGCGAGTGTGGGCTCCCACTCACTTACCCACACGCATCCCCTCCCACACACGCACGAGAATGTATTCATTTCAAGGTCGGCTTCGGGGCCGGGTTGAGTAGCCAACTCTTGTTACACATCCTTCCTCCACCCTCACACACACACAAACCCACAGACACAAACAGGCCCCCGCATCTTTGATTTTCAGAACCACTCTGCATTAAAGCCGTGCCAACGTGGGAGTAATATATTCGAGGCCTTCCCACATCATTAGATGCACCCATAATCAGACCATGAAATGTGAAAGACTCAACATCCCTTTAATTTGTTAAGGACAAACCATCAAGTCTAAGATGAAGATACTCAGAAAGAGGCTGTGTAGAAATCAATGCTAGTTAAAAGAACTCAACTGAAGTGTATCTTCTCAGATAAATACTGTTACTTCTGTATAAAGATCACCGTGTAGCATCCCATCTTATCCCAAGTAGCTTTTATTGGCTTATATGGGATTCTAGCAGCTCAACCTGGGTCTCCTTTGTCGTGGTTTGGGTTTCATGATGTTACCACTGATGTGTATTTTCACCAGCTGAACTTCAAAAAGGCCAGTGGAAAAGTCCGGTTACTGGACGCTTGTACTTCAAAGTTAAGCATATAGATGCATTGGAAAAAGTTGATGTCTGGATTTCGCCTTAAAAACTGTGTTTACTTTTCAAATTCTGTATTTGAATAAATCGATAATGTACATCAGTGCATTAAAGTATCCTAATACCATCAGACATGTAGGCAGGTGCCGACGACGGGCTGAGTGGACCCTGTTCCCTCTAGTTCAGCAGAGACGGTATCCACAGTTTAAACAAATACCGATAATCTAACATTGTTCTGAAATAGCAGCTTCACATTCGCATCAGTCTATCTTAAATTGTGTCATTTATTTATAGCATTTTCATTTGGCTTCTTTCATCTTGCAAAATGGACCTTCAACCTTTTTTTTTATCAACCTTCACAACCATCTGTTACACCTGTTCCAACTATGTTGAGACAGGTTGCATGAGGTATTAAATGTATTTCGTTCTCAGCTTCTAATTGGTTTCATTAGCGCTTTTATGACTAAAACACTTATATCTGAAGTCATTGCATAATTTTCTTATTCATCTCTTAAACAACATAAATGTTGTGACTTTGGTTGAAGTACTAGCAGCCAGCAGTGTTTTATAACATCCTCATAACCTGGTTCACAAAATGTCAAAACATTTTCCGGCAGTACAATTAAGAGCTGCTTTCCCTCAGAAAGAGTCCTGGAATGAGGGCAAAACAAAGAGATGGGCCCAGGAAGGGCAACAGCACATAACAGAAGGAATGTTTGTTATCTCCGACACCCTGGTTGGAGGTCCTGGCCTCTGTCTGTATAGTGTTAATCATTCACCACCTTTATTCCACGGGTATGTACCCAGTGACGGAGGATTACATCATGTGAAGTAACTTGCGTTCTGTGCTGTTAAGGTAAACATACTGAGCTTTTCTGCCCGGGTAACCTGCCCTGCCACAATCCAGGAGAGTGCTGTGACTGCAGCGAGGGCCCCTATGTGCAGGAATGGACCCGTGGCCTGGGAAGAAAATGGGACAAAGGGGAGGCTGACTTTAAGAAAGAGCAAAGGAAAAGACAAAGAGATACAGATCCATGGAATTACAGTCATTATCTTGTGCTAAGGCAGTGGCAACACCACTCAGAGATAATAGCTGTAATTTGTAGGGACATTCACATGTAATGGCGTTAGTTTCACTTTAACTGCACATCCAGCTCAATCAAGCATTCTTGATAGAGAAAAAAAAAGACTTTTTCCAAATTTCTAGATAAGACAACAGCAAACTAAGAAAAAACACAATATAACACAATATAATATAAACACAAAAGTGTGGAAAATCTTGTTTGGAGTATAATCCACTAAATTCGCATTGGTGTGTAGGAATCTGAAGTGACTTTGGGGATTTTGTCCCCGTTTCTGACCTGCAGAGAGATGGGGACCACATCCCACTCTTGCCTCCATGTGTTATTGACAGAAATCACCCCAACGATGGTGGTGAGCAAAGCAGCAGTCAATCCGATCTGTGTGGAGATAGGGGAGGAGGAAACAGGCACAGACAATTGAAGTGAATCTCACTTTGGAAAGATGGACAAAAACTGAAAAAAACTAACAAAACACATAGCAGAATAACCTCAAATAGCTCCCACACATTTCACACCACGCACAGTGTTGGGTAACGGAATTTACTTTGCCGTAACAGGGTTTATCTATATAGCACACAGGAGCAGTTCGTTTAACTGGGCTTTCACAACCCTCCAGCAAGAACCAAATCCTTCCCTACTGCAAGTTCAGGGCAAGTTCTGTGCTGAAGGAATGAATGAATGAGCACACTCCCAAAGATAAAAAACACACAGCAACTTTCGTAATCTTATTTTTCTTTAGTCGCCCACCCTCTTCCACTTCACAGCTTTTACCAACCACAAACAAACAAGTGCAGCTGCCCACCCACCTTGTGGAGCCAGTGCAAATTCAGCTGCTGCCCAAGTGCAACATGGCAAAGCGCTAGAACCTGAAAATGGTAGAAAACAAGAGACGCAGAGCCAATTAGAATAGAAATGTTAAAGAAGGGGGGAACAACAAACATGCATATATCCTAACATGTTGTAAGGAAGGATGAGATTACGGTGTCAGCACCTCCTCATTCAGTATTACCATTAAGAATGAAACGTATGTGAAGCCGGCAGCAGTGGTGGCCAGGATGGGGACGGTGCCGTCACTCCACTCCCCAGAGCTGTTGTACAGGTACCTGCAAAAAACGGCAGCAGTAATGGCATATCTCATCGTGAGCCTTCATCCACACACCATTGTTTTTAAACAGTATTATGGCTCAGGAGGTGGAGATGTTTTTTTTTTTTAACCATCCAACTCATATCTGAATTGTATTCATTCTACAGTTCAAAGGGCATGACGTATTTTGTCCTGAAAGTTTACGCCTACAGTGTCAAATAATTTTATTATTTCTTTCCACAGAATGTTGATCCCTCTTCCTCCGTTACTTTTTAAATACTGATTGACTTTGAATCCATTGCTTCTTCCTTACCTTCTCTTATCTTTTGTTTCTCCTTCTCCAACTTAAAAAAAAAAAAAAAGTTTTTTTAAATTGAAATTTAAGCTTTTTTTAAATTAGAATTGAAAGGAAATCTGAAAGCTCAGGACAAAGAGAGAAAGACCAAGCTACTTTTTCTATCTCTAAAGCCTTTTTCTTTGGAGGGAACCCAGACTGTTTTTTCCCCACAAGAACAAGAAAAAATACATTTTATCATCGTTATGACCAATGGGCCAATGGCATAGTATTGACAACGGTTCTCTGTCTCGGAGGAGGCTTCAGTCTAAGGGGCAAAAATGATAGGGCATCAGAAAACATTTGGCTGGATTCATTTAAAAAAAAATTCTTTTAAAATCCACTCCTCACCCGCCGCTAAATCTGTCACATAAAAAACATAACGACGTTGCTCTGATCTGTAATGCTCAGGAATGTGCTGCTGTGCTTACAAACAGCTGCAGAGACAGGCCTAGCAGCGTCTGTGTTTGGCCACAACGGCCGGGGTCAATGCTCTTAATCACACGTAAAGCCATATCGGTGATTCCGGTGGCAGAGAGTCACAGAGGGGTCACTTACTGCCGAAGCCTCCGGTGAGTGCATTAATACAGCAGATACACAGTACCAGAGCATGGAGAATGCTGGCAAAATACAAGAAGACAAGCTGCACACAAGCAATTTAGGATTTGTGATTTTAAAGCAAAAGATGTGGAAAAAGTGAGAAATCGCCATATCGATGCAGTGGAAGAGAAAGATGAGAGAATGTAATGGAGACAGGGGACAACAATAAAAGGGAGAAGGTGACATTGTAGAGGTCCCTGAGAGCAGAATGAGGGGGGAAGGGGAGATAAATATATGTGGGAAAATGAGTCAACAGAAACCACTGTACAACAGCATGGGAAGAATGGCTTCAGCATCTTTTACCCACAACATCTGAATGTTCATGGCACGAGGAGGTGACAGTATCTTTTGATCAAGGAGAAACAAATAATCCATGCTTCGCAGTAAAAAGTGGAATTCCCAATTGACCGATTCGTTTTTCTAGGTTTTTCTGTGGTTCAAAAATTCTAAAAATTAATTTACTTTTACAAATCCAGTCAAGGAAAGAAAACATTAAATATTGTGTTTCGGTTAGTTTCATCGAAATAAAAAATGAGTCAATTTAGGGGTGGCACCTTATAACATCTGATTCTTTACACGCCCCCAATTTATTCTGATTCATTGTTGCACAACTGAAAACACATTAAATGAGCTAAACTCGAGTGTGCGGTCAAGTTAATGTGGAGTACAGGAAATGATGGATGAGCCGTCTCTGTTATGCAACGGCGCTGCTCAGATTAACGCAGATGACAGATTAAATTTGGGAATTAGTAAAGAAAAAGGGGGAAAAAATACCCGCTATAAATAGAGTGTACAGACAGGGGCTGGTCGTGCACTCACCAGTTAAACTCGTTGTAGTCATTGTGTGCCTCCAACCAGAAGTAGAACCAGACAAGCAGCAGGCAGAAGGTGAGGAGGAGGATCAGAGACCACAGCAGCTCCCACTTTGTGGGCACACACAGACACAAAAAAACAATTACTCTTGCAGTTCATTACATTAAAACTGACAAAGAGACCTTTGATCATCCTGAAATAATTCTTTAAAAGCTGAAATCCTACTGATTTCTACTGCTGTGAACAGAAGATTCCTCCACTCTTATTCAGAGTGACTCCCTGCTTTGAAGAGTACAAATACACCTTCACAAGAAATGTTCAGACAGCAATAAGTTAACTTTTAAATAACTAGCAGAAATATGGAGCCCACCTAGGAGGCAAAGGGTATTCCCATTTCCACTCAGCTAATTATCAAGGAAGATTCGTTAATAACTTAAAATGTACCCCAACTAATTACTGTCTAATTTTCTTATGCCCTTTTGCACCATGGCCAATATTAAATGAACAGCATCTTAAGATAGAGACAAAAAAAAAAAAAACTTCCTTTGAGGTCAGTTCGGGAAGGTGAGCTTATTGCCACCTTTTCCATAATAACTTAATAAAGTTCACCCAAAAACTTTTTCTGTCTGAGACCAACTTTAAGAACAGTGGAAATTCAGCCCAATTAATTTTTCATGTGATTATCAAACCACGGCTTTATGGGTGTCATGTTGACTGGGACAGAGTCACTTGTTGGAGCAGCCTGAGCATATTGTCAGCGTTGAATCCCGCGGATCAGATCGTTATCGCCACCGACGACTGCAGTAACACCCAGACCTGCTTTCATCTGCTCCCTTTACCAACTTTCACGCTTTCTTTCAAATCTAAAGCTACTTTAAAGATGGCTTTTCAAACTCAAAATCATCCATCTGGACACCACACAAAGAAGATCATTTAAAAAAAGAAAAAAGAAGAAAAAAAAGAAAAGAAACAAGCCCGGTGGAATGCGGATTTAATCCTCTTCTATTTTTGGACTTGGCCTCTAAAGTGGTAGGACCAAAAAAAAAAAGTTATGCAAGAATATCCTCTTATACATGAGGGGGATCATCCTTCATACAAGAGCAAAGACCACTTGTCTTTTCTGATGCGTGAGCGAAATATGATTTCAAATCAATTATCATATTGAAGAGTTCTGTTAAATTGGACACATTCACAAACATGGAGGTTGTCTTATAGCAGACACAGAGCAGGTCAGATCATGAATGTCTGGAAAAGACCTGGAAGATCCTGCTAACACAGAGACGAATGACACGGGGAGAACATGGGGGATTTGAACCGGGAACCCTCCTGCTTTAAGGCGAAGGTGCCGACCACCACAGCCGTTTTGTTTTATTCTACTTAAACTGCATAAGCCCATTCCGACAACCAGCCATTCAGTCAGGTTGAATTAGCTAGAATTCAAATTCTACTCTTTCCTCATCATTTAGACAAAGGATTGGCACTGGCCTGAAAATGATGCTTTCTCATCTTCTGTCCCGTTTCAGGTCAGTTTTGTGCGTTTAAAAGGAAGATGGGAGCTCCGGCTCAGCAACATATCCCCAACTGATTGAATTTTACCTATAAACAGCAGCACATAAGGGTGAACAGACTTGAAACCTTTGGCTGTGAACCACAGCAGTGCAGGGCGGAGGAGCACTTCTTTAATAACTGCCTATATTAAAAACTGCCTACATAAGTCTATCTTCCCTCAGCAACTCTCCATCTGAGCTGCTTTGTTTGCCTTTAAAGGCTCAGCGAGCCCAATACAGCCGATTACATTTGAGGCAACTAATAACACATTTATTAAAGAAGCTTATTGGACTCTTCCCTTCTGTGTGCAGCAACGCTCTTATGAAGTTTGGGGAGCAGGAAGAACCTCAAATGTCAGCTCAAAGACTGTGTTTTCCCATTACTTTTTAACCTGAGTTCCGCTGCCTCCTGCAAAAGATGAAGTTAAGAAATATAGCACGAAGTGATGAAATGCGTTTCACGAAGGGGAACAAAGTTAACAAGTCCCTTATAATGATTTTACAGCACTGGCGGGAACGTGGGGCCAAGTATTGGGAAGCTCAACAGAAACTACTGCTAGCATGCAGTAAAAGTCAGCCGCGGCGTCATTACAAGACTCATTTATCAAAGTTCATCATTATCATAGATAAGCACATGAGCATGTGAACTGCCTTTCAAATAAACACTCTTCTTTTTATGCTTCGGGGCGTAACGATCTCACTATGTGAAACAAAATGCGACAGCATTGCAAACATCACAGCGCGACTTTCTGATGCTCTTTGAGGCTATATATTATGGATTTACGTCAATGTTATATTATCTTCTAGATGCATTTCAATAATACCCTACATCCACTGAACAGAATTTTTTAAGGCATGCTTATTCTGCTTTTGCCCTCCAGTTGTTCAGCTTCCTCTATTGTTTTTTTCTTCTAGCAAACGTCACACTGTACTCAAAAGTTTACAGCTCTTGGTGCAAAAAATAAAAATCTAACTATGTCATATCTATCAAACACTGTTGTAAACATGCAGCAAAGAGGCATAATCAGGCTTTGCCACAGTATCTATAGATACAGTTTGTGCATAGACATAACACCTTATCCTTTAAGTAAAGTGTATTAAAAGAAAGTATTTACAGGTTATTCAGTTGCTCAAAATAAGAAGAAGGTTGAGGAAGTAGCTTGGGCTCAAAATGAGCAAAATGGTGAACAAAAACACCTTTTTGTACAGTTCTGTGGCTACAGCCTACCTCTGTTTGCATTCACAGACTGTAACACTTTCATAATGCCGAGCACCAACTGAAAAATAGCCTTACTGTTTGCATTTCTTGCAATAGATAATCAATATTGACGTGCTAAGATAAGTGTAGATATTATATTAGACACTAGAGAGTCAACTGCTACGCAGACAACCACAAATTCAACGATGCATTCAATTAATCCTGACAGCTTGGCTCAGTATGCCGGAGTTTCTCAACATGCCAACACTGTGGGATGCTCATGGAACTCAGTTTGCTGCCAGAAAGTTCAGCCCTTGTTCATTGCCCCTCGTCTCGTAGAGCGCTACGTCACACGCCTCGGTCTTTGTCTTCCTCTTCACTGGACTTGACACCACGGCCACTTGTCACATTCCGCCGCATATCCAGATAAGTTCCTGGCATTTGAAGAGCTCGGTGTTAAACCTCGCGGCTTGAGCGTTGACACAGAATGCGACACGGCTGCCCTGTATATTACAAGAAAAGTAAGACGAAGAAATCCTGTCTTTGTAGCACTAGAGTCACTATGTACAGAGATGTACTACCATAAAAAACATGAACAAGATATCTTGTGTATCAGTCAGTATGGACACTGACTGACCTCACGATGCTTCCATATTTAATTAACCCCGTTATATCTGATCGCCGGCCTATTGTAAGGGGATAACTTCCTTGCACGCAGCTCACTTTGATTGTTATTCCCTCCTGAACTGATCTCAAGATGTTAATTCAGCAATCACAGGAAGTTCCAGCCAGTCAGATGGAGCTCAGACTTCCTCTCATTGAATTATCATTGTACAGATTTCACAGGATGGTTATTTGGGCGTTTCACTGGATGTATGGATGAGGTGTTTGAGGAAGGCAGCAAAGTGGACGAAAAGGTACAGGTCACATACTGTATATGTTAGAAGGCAGAATGTCGCCTAGGGACTTTCCAATTTCTGAAGGAGAACCGGATTGTACCAACTGAAGCTGCTTTGTCAATTCAGTACAGTACAACCAGGAATAGATACAAATCTATCAGTTAAGGAATACATAGTGTGGATCCCTGATCCTCTACGGATTATAATAATCATTTCACTGTCATTATGAAAAGACATCGGCAATGATCTCAGAGAAGACATTGTGACTACTCATCAGTACGAGATGGGCTACAAAATCACACCAAATAATCATTACTCTAAAGTTAATGGTGCTTAAGGTGGTTAGACAAGCTATTCAAACAATGGAGTGCTTCACGTGAGGCCTCTACACTTTGGTTCAGGAGAATGAATACATGTGTCAAGCAAATCAAATTTAACAAGACTGGAAAAAAACACATTACACTAAAAGAAAAAGTGAGATAGACAGAGCTTCCCGAAACGACGAATAAATTAGCCTGCGTGTCTGTATAGATCTCCATGTCTTCTCCATTTTAAAGTGTTGTTACACAAGCTGAACATAATCAGCTAGATATAGATGCCGACTGTATACCGATATTTAACAGGTTAAATGAGGCCTGTACGATCACTGTCAAACAATGGAGGGGCAGCCGTGCTCCTATTTTTGCAGCCTTTGTGTGTCTGCATGGTAAAGACAAGCTAAATGGAAATACTCTCAATTATTACTGAGATGCCAGATCGGCTTGCACTGCATGACGTGAGCCGTCTTCCTACAAAGCACCTTGGACAGAGAGAGAAGCAACTTCGCTGAGATGGACAGTCAGTCCCAATGACTCACTACAATGAACAAAGAAAAGAAAAAAAAGAAAAAGGCTGAAAAATTGGACGATCCACTTGTGGATTATGAATAAGTCCAACAGTTGTGTCAGCACCACATTCTTGGTTCTCACGCTTCTGTGATTGGTTTAGATCCACTTACAGGCATCTGATCCCCGTCCTTGACGGTCACAGTTTGTTTACAGGGATTGTTAAAGATGCAGCCTTACATGACATCAAGACACCTCAATGGAAAAGCAGCCCAATCAAACAAATATCAAACAGCACACACAGCTGAGAGAGGATTAAGGCCTGATTCTTTTTTGGATGCAGCGAAATTACATTTTTTGTTGTCAGTTTTGATGTAAGCAAGGCCAAGAATATTGTTAAAGATCTTATTAGATCAGCTGAAAGGAAATGGAGAGCAGCCTGCGGCGTGCCCGAGTGTGCTGGAGTCAAGACAAATACCGTCCCGCAGCATAAAACGGAGGATAAGCTCCCTCACTGAGGAATGCTGACTAAGCATTTCCATATCGGTTGGCCTGAAAAGACCAAAAAAAAGAGGAAACAGCTACATGGTGTCCAGTTTCCTACAGGCAGGAGGAAGAAAAATGTCTTTATTGGGATTTCATGGAGAGCTGGTGAAGGTAGTGTTATTGTGACTGTTAACGCACCTCATGTGGGTTTAATGTAGGTCATCCACTTCTCCTCCGATGATTGGTGTGTATGTGTACCAGCAGAACCGACCATTGTCTGCGTTTCTGCTGTTCTACAGTGTGGTATGTGGGTATAAATAAGTCACCCAACCCAGCGTGTGAGTGCATGTGAGAGCACATATGGATATGTTTAGCTCTTTCTGATTGTCACAGCAACATAACGTGTTGATCTTTCCTAAATAATAAGAAAAAGGAAGGGCAGGACCAGCGTAACTTGTATCTTCAAACACGCATCCAATACTAGATAACAGATCAGCCGAGGGTCATTTTGTGTCAGCGTCTTGTTTTAGGTTCGCTTGAATGACAGATCCAAACAAATTTGATTTGCGTCCCTGACCTTCGCAGTATTTCTGGGACTTAACAGAACACTTGACTGTGTTTTCTACTGTGTGCCAACGTCCCTCACAGGCAAAGATTAGACGGGTAATATTCACGAAAGGCGAATGCTTATTTAAAACACTACAGGCTTAAACAACGGAGCACAGTACATTTCATGGTTATTGAATGGGGTACAAGCCAGCAGGGGCATACATGGACAAAGGGTAATTGTTCTTTAAAAGTATGCGTTGAGAAACCAACGTCAGAGCCGTGTAATTCAAGCCAGACTTTTAAAGAACGATGGCCATAAAGAAACCTGCATGTATTTTTTCCTCTTTAGCAAATTCAGAGTGCTTAAAAAGGAGAAAAAAAACATATCACCTCCCACAAAGCCATCTTGTTAAAAAACAGTAACAACAATAGACTGAAGCTCAGCAACCAAAATTCAAATATTTCTTTTAACCCAATGTCAGAAATGTAGGTGTTAGTTGATCAGAAAAAAAAGAAAGCCTCTTTTTCAAAAGGAGCAGGATTAAAAAGGTTAAAATTATCATCCTACATTGATCTCTCTTCCAGGACAGCTGTGTGTTTATTGTGGAAAACAGCCTTGGCAAACTAAATTGCACCCTTGTACAACCAGATGATCAGGTCTCGTCCACTGCCGACCCAATGTGAGCCCACATGCACAGATGAGGGTGCACGCGGCTTCTAATTATCTTGTGAGATAATCAGTGGAAAGCAGAGACGGTCTCAGCTCTTTCGACTGCTCTCTTAACCTTTGTTGTTGCAACAACTCCGTGCAAACCAACATAATGCTACAGAAGAAAAAAACAAAACGGTTTTTGACAAATGTAACTACACCGTGTGTTAATTACAATAACAAAGATGCTCTAAGTGGGACAGGGGACCCGCCGGGCGGGCTTCAGCCGCCTCTCACCTTGGTTGTGTCATCATGAGAACGTTGATAGCGTTTCCATCGGCAACCGTAGATCCCGGTGATACATGACAAACACAGCTGGCGCTCGTAGACCTGAAGAGGTTGGTGTTTCACCATGCTCCTTTAGTCAGTCCTGCTTCCAGAGCCACAGCTAACATCCCACTGGCTGCACAGTGTCCTGCAAAAGGCACAGAGAGCGTTAAACCCCACGGCTGAAAACTGTTGCGACCTCAAAAGCTGGCGACTCATGGGAGAAATAGTTACTACGGTAACATGTCTGTCAGTTTGAGAAAAAAAATATATAAAAGACACGCCGTCCTGAAAGGCAGTAGGACTCAGCGAGACAAAGGCCAGCATCGAATTTAGGCTTGGTCTCAAAGAACCACGTTTCCAATCACGACCGAAACTGTAAAAAGCTTTCATCAATACCACAAAGGAGAGAAAAAGAAAATCAAGTGGTCTGGAGAGGTAACCGTCTACTGGACGTCACATTAAATCCCAGAGAGCAGGAACTGATCACCCTGTACGTGGCAGGGCTAAAACATATCCCCTCCATAGAGTCAGAGACGGTGTGGCGTCTAACCTTCCAGTAAATTTTGGGTTGAGGTGATCAGTATCAGGCAGGCAGGCATTCAGATCTACCTGTTGTGCGTGTTTAGATAATGATGGAAACGGCCGAAAGTACCAGGCTGTGCTGTGTGTGTGCGTCACTAGGTGCAGTTACTTTTTCCCCCCGTTCTAAGGGAGAAAGTAGCCCTGTTGGATTGGATGTTTCAGAGTATGTCTGCATGTGTGTGCGCTCTTTGTGCTATAATCAGGAGGTCTCAGGTTCTGCACAGCTGCTAATTAGCATCTGCAGCAGTGGCCATGTTTCCTGTTATTACCCAACTGCTCTGAAGAGGGTGGGCCCGACCCGAGGGCATGATGAACGCGGCTGGACCCAGCAGGACCGATAAGAAACTTGACAGCCATCGCCGCATGGGTTAAGATAAAACACGGATTTCACACATAAAAAGTGTCTCAAACCAACCAAAACACTGTGCTGATAACAGAGGTGTCACAAAGGCTAGGTTATTTGGGAGAAACGCAAAAAAAGATAAAAAGGCTCTAAAATACTATCAAAACGCAGCTCAAAAAAGGCTTTGTTTGAACACTGGCAGAGTGATGATAGTTTAATGTTACGACTCATCTGCTCAAATGCTTTCTCTCATTATCCAGGTGGCTTGAGGGACATTTGCATAGCTGCCAAAAAAGACAAATAAAACAAACATCATTCTGCCAGGCAGCAGCAGATGAAAATTTTTTACATCTCTGACTTGTTTGATCATGTCAAGTTAGTGAAAAGAACTCCTAATTCCCACACCCACTCTGACGCACTGAAAAACAACAGCAGGCAAATTCTTTTTTAAATTAAAAGAACCCACCAATGCTTTTATTAATTCAGATTTAAAAACATTAAATGCGTCCTGTTTTCTCTGACTTAACCTATAGCTAGGCCATACTGAGCCGAAAACTTAAAAGGAGAGAGATTAGATGGAAAATGGAATTATATCCTCTATAACTGAACGTATAAAAATAAATATCAATTATTCATCATTTATCTACAGGCAGGCCTCAACATGAAGCCGGCTGCGAGCGATCCACTCAATCTTTACTTTATGAAAGGTAATCAAAGTAAATTGCGGGTGCTTGTCTGGACCTCATCAGAAATATTCTGAAAAAAGGTGAGGCTCATCACGCACTGCACCCAAAACTGTCACCACCTTTCACTTGTATTCTCAAAGTCAGATCTACCACTTTTGTATTGAGCTGGAAACAGATTTTCTCCTCCAGTTGCTTTATATGAGATTTAAAAAATAAATAAATAAACTTTTTGCACATCTTAGTTAATACGACTCATCACTGCCACCAAACCTCATTAGGGCCCAGAAATAATTGCTGTCTATTAATCCCTTTATCTACAAGATTCCTCATCAGAACACTCGGTAGTAACCGAGTGTCCAAGAATCGATCCATTCAATCCACACGGAGGCAGGGGACTTTAGTTGTCATTCTTTTACTTCAGGAAAATCATCCGGCAAAATACAACCGTTCCAACTGGAACGTCCCACACTGTAACTGGCCCCCCGGAGGGGCAACCCCCAATTTGACTATAGTTCCGTCCCTAATATTTCCCAATATATAACACTCATTTGCAAAGCTTTATCTGGTCCCTGGTCACCATCACCGTGACGTTTCAGATGAGCTTAAGGTGTTGACTTCTGCATACGCATAACTTCTATTCAACCCAGACTTTGCAGCTGCAGAATTCTGACCACCATCAGTCGAGTGGGCTGTGTGGGACTGTTCTAATGACTCATTATGTCACAGCCACAACAACTGAGCCAGAAACAAACAAAAAAAAGATGAAAGATTCTATCTTGTATCGCAATTGTTTGGCTCCAGCTCTGACAAGCATGTCCCTCCATATACAAAGCCATGAATCAGGTTATTTACAATAAAGATTTAAAGCGCGTTAACCCGTGTATCCTGATGGCGTCCTGTTACGACACATCATGTCGTCCGCCTCCTTCATAACTGCCACAGAATGGGGAATCAACAAGCAATCCCTTTTTTTTCCATCCCAAGGGAAGCAACCTTCCTGTCATTCCAGTCACATGCCGTTTGAACTTGTGTGAACCACACAACAACATGAGGGGTGTATTAAAAAGGCCCCTGAACAGCTTCTGTCATCTTATTTTCTGCTGTCTCATTTCCTCAGTTTAGAAGCACAGAAGGAGAAAATAGTCTGCAAGGGAGGATGCAATTCAGCAGTTTCCAATAAGAAAACTTGCACTTGAACAGGGACTTGGAGGGAGAGTTCGACCACAGTGATGGGAAATAAAGGCTTATTAAAAAAAATCCCCTGCTAGGAATTCATCTCCCCGTGGTTTGCAGAATGTGCAATACAATTACAGAAACAACATTCCCATATGAGTAAAACCTGAAGCACAATTCTTACACCCCTTTCCACTTCAAAACAACTTTTCAGACTTAAATCTAAAGAAGATAGAGGTATATTCTGACCATGTATGCTTCAATGAGGACAAGTATATCAGAAGTTTCAAGTTTAAGGTAAAGTGGCTTTTGAAAACCAAGACACATCAAACTGAAACACAGCATCTTGTCCAAAGCTGATAAGCACGGGACTGTTACAGGTAAGCAACTTTTTTACAAATTGTAACACTACAAGTCACTTATTCTGCTGTTGGCCGTTTTCAGAGTAGCAATTACTCTATACTTGGAGTAAAAAACTCAAATCTTTTGTTAAGATGGTAATTCTACTTTTTTTAAAAAAAGGATCTGAAGGGTCTTTGTGTTCACTGTATCCATGGAGTTTAACAACATCAAGCTGACTCACCCTCTCTTACGACTTGTTGGGGCTGCGCCCACATATTCTGCTATTCAGATAACCGTTTGCGTCATGGATCAGTTCATCAGGGCTACATCTTTACCCTGTTCTCCTCCAAGCACATGTGAAAAAAAAAAAAAAACACGTGCTCGATTGATCCCCTGATATGAAAGAAAATCATATCAGGAGAAAAATTAATTACAGAAAGAGGATTTGATGTTGAGGTTAGCAAAGCCAAAAAGTAACAACTTAACCAGAGATTTGATCTATTATAAAGCAAGTCTAGAAACAACAATAAAAAAGGAACTATCCATTGAAAAGGGAAGAATATTTACTCATTCAATGTGTTCAAGTGTTATGAGCCCAATAAGATCCTTCGTAAAGACAAAAAAAGAAAAAAAAGAGCTAAATGGATTCAAAGTAACTGAGGGCACTGGAAATGTGGAAGAGCCATGTGGCATCGCAGGATTCCTTTGTGGGATGTGATAGTGGCACATGGGTGTTAGAGTACATTCTATCAGGAAAACACATCAGAGTTGCTCTGCAAAAACCTTTAAAAACCAAACTGACTTTTTTAACACTCGAACATCAAGCATTTGGTAGAGCACATTTATGTATACACACACACAAACGCATAAAAACATACACACTAAACTAGCTCTATAGTTAACTTTCTTAAATTTCTTTTTCAAAAATTCATACTTTCACCATAAAGTGTAACCCAAACTCTCTGTAAAGTATTTATTGTGGTTGTTATTTTACTAAATAAATAAATGAATAAATAAATAAATGCAATTGAATATTTTCTCGTCTTTTTTTTTTTTGTGTAGATGTTAAAAGATTAATAAATCTTATCCGATCCAACTTCAGACCTCTACACCTTACTACGAGTGTCTGTCTTTTGTATTTTCCTACTGTTAGGGAATGGAAACGGTTTGGCTACGCGACCATCATGTCAAAAGTTTGAAGTTGGCAGTGTCATTACTCTGTTAGGTAAAGTTAGCCTCTATTTTCTTTTTGTTGGATTGGCAGGCTGATAACAGAGGCAGAATAGAATCAGTGATACAAGTATACATAGAGCCAAAAAAAGCAGAGATCTAATTTATCATTTCTTAAAGGGCTACAGAACATGTACGCAAGCATTTTATTATTAGATATGTGAACAGCACTAGGACACACACACACGTGCACACACATGCACGCACGCAAACACACACAAAGGGTACTGCCTGTTGTGCCTTTGAGTGCTTTATTTAATTTTTCTTGCCATGAAACAAAGACTTGTGAGTTTCCTGGGAAACCAAATCTTGAAACATGTTCTAAGTAGCCAAGTGTGGACAATACAATCTGTGTATGTGTGTGTGTGTGTGTGTGTGTGTGTGTGT